ACAGGCGGCCTTCCGTGCCACGGCGTTGACCAACTTCCCGGAAATAATGATAGGCCCGCTGATGCCCTCCGAGAAAGCGAGAATCTACACATGTATGAATATCACGTAGAGGTGGTGCTTCCTTCTAAAAATGGCGCGGATCGCGACAGGGGAAAGGGAGGGGGGAGGGGGCTGCTGCCTCGCGTACACTTGGTATATACGCATACGTAACCTAGCCTTCGCAAGGAGCCATCCTGCCATTATCACGTTTCTCTATTTGTAATACCTTGCAACGGCGCTTATCGCTTGACCCTGTCAATCATCCTGCGACAGTATATTGTGGACGGTCGAATGACAAAATGTGCTCCCCGCTCCACGGTTATTTTAGGTTGTACGAGGCCGATAACTGGCGGAAGCCAGGGGGCTTATCGCACGCAGTCTTACATGGTGAAAGCTGACTGGGCTTGCATCGATCCGAAAGTGCGCTTGCACGTATACATCTAAAAAAAATACGATAAAAAAAAAAAAAGAGCTCGAGGTACACCTAAGCATTTCTTATGAGTTGTGAATGCGAAAGCATGCAAGCCGCTCGTCTGCTCCCTTTGTCGTCTGCTACGTACTAGCGCGCGCGGGCTTCGGGATATCGGAGGCCATGGCGCAGCGGCCAATGAGAACACCGTCGACGCGCGCCAGCCAATGGAACCGAAGGCGAAATCGCGGAAACTAGTTGCCGTTTTCGCGCTTCAAACTGATGACGGCAGTTTGCTCCATTTAGCATGGGGCCACAACGCTGTAGCTCCGGTCAAAATAAAAATATATAGAGAGAGATAGAGAGAGAGGGAAGAGCATTGTGCCGCAAAACAACTTGGATGTCATCAGCCCGAACGAGAGACCGGTCATTTTAATTGCCTCAACCCCCCCCCCCCCCTTTTTTTTTTTTTTTTTTTTTTTTTTTTTTTTGGTTTTACGGGTTTGCCCGAAGTGAATCGTGAGTTCACCCAGGCGCATCGAAAGGGCCGCCACTGGGTTTCCGTTCGAAGACAGCGAGTCGTCGGTTACCGACGAAATTAATGAGACAAGAGAGCCAGCCCAAGAAGCGAAAGAATGCTACCACTTTTTTTGTTTATGGTTATTATTTAGTGTTGCTTTGTGCGAACGTTGATTAGCTTTCTGTACGGCCTTATGCGAAGCCTCAGCCGCGTCCGTCGAGCTACTCCGTCTCGAGATGGCGCTGACCGCGTCGTCCTCCCGCTTACACACTGAGGAAGCTGATGATGGTAGCTGCATTTGTGTGTGTGTGAAGCGGACGAATGGAACGTTGTTTGACCGGCCTTCGCGGCGCATTTCAAGGTTCTCGCCCGTCGCTTCAATTTAGCGCCAGCGGCTTCACTGCGTGGTCGAGCCAATCAACTCCATTTGATCGTCTCGTTGTTTTTTTTTTTTTTTATTGTTTTTGTTATTGCCTTGACAGGAAACACGACCGCGGGAGTAACAACGTCTCAATTTGAGCGCGAACCAGCTGGCTAGAAAACGAGGAAGCTGGGGTCTTGCGTTTTGTTCAGGCCGCGCTGGGAATTGTCCTGTTTTGTACTACTATACTGTTTACAAACGCCCCGTGCTTTTTTTTTTTTTTTTTTCGGTTTACCGACTTTGCAAGCATTCTATATAAGCTTCAGCTTACAGAAAGTCATGCAGGAACTATACTTTACGAGCATCGTATGAGTTGTCGCTTTTACAATCCGTACTGAAAAAAGGAAAACCGTATGCATCCAAACGATCCGGACTCCCATATTAGCATACAAAAAGCGCAAAAAAAAAAAAAGTGTAAATTGTCAGCAGAATTTACAATTTTGAAATCCCTTATCTTATACGCGTATTATAGACATAAAGCTCGGAAAATATTGTCGGCGGTGCGCGCCAAAACTATTTAATCTTAATATCGCCCATTGGAAAATTCTTAATAAAGACAGCAATGCCGCTTATGTACCATGCTTAGCGTGCTAAGTATAGTAGACAACGATTACCAAGCATCGAATTTGCCGTCGCGTTCTTCGTTGAGAAAAAAAACGCGAATATATGTGATATCTGCTCAAATTGTTGTTGTTGTTGTTGTTGTTTTTTTTTTTTAACGGGGAATTGTAATTTTAATTTGGTTGTGCGCTGCGTTTTTTTTTTTTTTTCTTTCTTTCTTTCTTTATGCACAACGCGATGATTGGCGACATATGTGTTCTGCACAAAAGTAGACGCAAAGGCCTTGTTTCATAAGAAATGCGGCTATAACTCGATCAAATACTCTATGGTTCTCTCATGTGGTATTATGATATACAAGTCAGGTAATTCCGTACACGTTCAACTGATATGCAGGAAGCTTCTTTTTTTCTTTTTCTCCGATAAGATACGTGACAAGTGAAGCACCACCGCAGCTGCGTGACTTTAAACGGTTTCATCGCCGCCTACTCCTCCGAACACGGCCATTCAGACAGGCGTCAAATGGCGCCTGGGCAGAAAGTGTCGCCGTGCGAAACGCCCTTCGTCAACGTCTGACGGCTTTCGGTCGAGGCTGACTCTGACGTGGCGTGATTGATGATCCGTCGCCGAAATTCGACTGGGCTTCGTCAAATGCGTCCATCAAACTGCGGCGAGGGCCAACGATCCAAAGGCCAGAGACGCCGCTCTAACACCGAGCGCTTGGCTGGCGTGCGTCGGCCCATTTGAGGCTGAAGTGTTTCGCTCGCTTCCTGTGTACAAGTTTAGCCTCGCATCAAGCATACTTTAAAGCTGGTTCACACACTTGAGTTCGCTTGCGACCGAGTCATTGTGACCTCTCGGGACGAGAGAACGCACTCAGCGCACTGACAGGCTGGCGCCGTCTGTGAGGTGTCCCTAGAACTACATTTCACTGGAGCGAAGGTTTTGCGGTATTTGCGAGATCGAATGTCTATAAGAAATAGTCGTTTATAACATTGTTAAAAAGATATTTGAAGCCACGAACCATTTCCATTCGTTCCCATTCGAACCACGGATATTGCGTTCACTCGCGTTTGCAGACTGTCTTATGTAAGTTGTATGAGCAGCATGACCCTCTCGGCTTAAATGTTATGTTAATACTTTGTATATGTAATTGTATATGTAATTGTATATGTAATTGAATATATTTTTGCTGAAGTATTGATGGGTATTTGTATTTAGATAAATTTTGGCGTATATTGAAATCCCCGGAGTCAATAATTAATTTACTGGGGATAGTCACTAAAACAACTACCGCTAAGGCTGCTCAGAGTTGCCTCTCCGCCGCACTGCATCGCATCATCCTTTTCAAATCCCTTTGTACACTCTTCAGCAAATGAACGGGTGTTCCACGCAACGGCGCCCTACTGTATCAACGGTGTATTACTCGAAATAAAGATGCTCAAAGAGGTGTAGCCACGAGCGCCAGTCTCTATAGAGCACCCTTTTTACACTCTTAAGGGTGTAAAATGCTTTAGTGTGTGGTTCCGCGAAACGGCTAGCTTTCTTTTTTATCAATGTATAAAAACGTCCTGTGGTCACCGACAGAGTGAGAACGGCAGGGAGTAGCTTCAGTTGTTCCACCTCGAGCGCTAGCTAGCGTCCGCGTCTCCGAGCGCCAGTGTTGGGTAGCGTACAGCGACGCCAAAGATCCGGACGCACCTCGTCCGAGCGTCGTCGGCGTGTTTGTAAAATGGGGTGGTTCGGGCGTCAACAGACGATGGCGTCATGCGCGGCCCTCTGTTTTTATTTGTTCAACCGACACCGCCTGAGTAACCTGAGGCTCGCTTGAATAACCTGAGGCTCGCCTGCTTCTCACCAACGTCAGAGCGCACTCCGCCCGACGTCGTGCAAACGCGTCCGATGGGTTCGCTGCGTTGACGTGACGTCAAACAGAATCTGCTCTGACGAAAAAAAAACAACAAAACAAGCGGCTGTTTTTTCCGTTTTTTGTTTGTGTGTGTGTGGATGTGTGTGTGTGTGAATTTATACTATTTTAATCCGCCTTCTATGCGGGTTCTCCGTGAGCTTGGAAGAGGACGCCAAAGATTTAGTTCGTTTGGCGTTTTTTGTGTGTGTGTGTGTTTAGTAGTTGGTTGTTTGTTTTGTTTTGGTAGCACAAGGGCCGTCAAGGACATGCCTTTTATATCTTGTCAGACCGTGTCCTTTCTTATCGTGATATAAAGTGTAGACCATATATCTGCACATGCCGGCAAGCACGTGTGCACGCGCTGGTGCCCATGGGGCACCAGTCCAGCCATAAATTATTTTTTCTTGATAGCCATGAATAGGAATTTCGTGAACGACATTCATATGTTATAAAAAAATACAGCTTTTGTAACCTTTGTTTTGTTGCTATAGGTCACGACATGTCACCGAAAAGAAAAAAAAAAAACGGTGAAGGGGGCGAGGACATTGATGTCCGGAAGAGAATAATGCGTTGGAAAAATATTTTAGCGAACCATTTTCTGACTTCCACGAAATACCGTTTCGAATGAAACCTTGGCGTTGATAAATATGAAGCATGCACATTAGTGTCTTTCAGTGTCTTTCAACACACCTCAAACACTGTAGCAAATAATTTTTTTTTTTTTGAGGGGGGGGGGGGGGGGCGTTATTATTATTTTTTTATGTGGGTGATTACTAGTTGGGATACTTGCGTGTGCATTTCAGATCAGTTATTTGTTCTTTCAAATGCAGAACGGTGTTCTTTTCTTGTTTTTTTCCTGGCGACCAGATTTTTTTTAAGTTCGTGCAAATTATGCATTCTTTTTCTTCTTTTCTTTTCTTTCTTGAGGTAATAATAAAGAGGTAAATCAAGCACAACTCATCAGCGTCGCGTAGCAATGATTGATTATGATGAGATATGGCATAGACCTGATTGTGCTTTTGTTGCCCAGATGTTTACCTTAAGAGGCAATCAAAAGTGCCAGCTGTGTAATTCATTTGATGCTGCCAAGTCTGAGAGATGGAGTTCTTGGTGCTGATTGTCTGCCGTCCTTTGGTCTCTACAGATCTCGGGAGCTGATCAAGCAGGCGATCCAGGACAATGACTTCATGAAGAACTTGGAGACGATCCAGATCAAGGAGATCACGGACTGCATGTACCCCGTGGAGTATGCACAGGACAGCCTCATCATCAAGGAAGGGGATGTTGGCTCCGTCGTTTACGTCATGGAAGGTATGGACCCTATTAGATGTTCTTTGGCAGGAGGTGTCATAAGTGGGGTTCCTTGTTATCCGTACACATCAACAAAGGTGTCGGCAATATTCGGGAGATGAAAGGGGAAGGGGAGAGTCTGCTAAGCATGGCTCTAAAATTTCAAGATATCGTTGATTGAGAAAATGTGCATATTGGCTAGCTGAGTCCTGAGAAATTTTGCATAACTGGGATGAAATATAATGCAATTAAATGCAAAGGTGCAAGCGAGCTGGACAAGAATGATGAAAATAATCCCTGGAGAAGGGGAACAAGAGCGACAAAGGACAAACATAAATCTCCAAACACAGCTAGGCGACTGGTGAGCGACCGAAAAAATCCGCCTGGTCCGGGTATCGAACCCTCTCCATTACAGGTGGAGTGCTCTACCAACTGAGCTAACCAGGGGTTAGACGTCAGTAGAGCAAACGGGTTTTATCAGTTGCCACCAGTCTAACACCAACAAGGGTGAAGCTTGCAAGTTAAGGTTGTAATTATAATGCAATTAAATGCAAAGGTGCAAGCGAGCTGGACAAGAATGATGAAAATAATCCCTGGAGAAGGGGAACAAGAGGGACAAAGGACAAACATAAGTCTCCAAACACAGCTAGGTGACTGGTGAGCGACCGAAAAAATCCGCCTGGTCCGGGTATCGAACCCGGGACCTCTCCATTACAGGTGGAGCGCTCTACCAACTGAGCTAACTTTACTGACGTCTAACCCCTGGTTAGCTCAGTTGGAACAGACGCAGAAGGGACGTTCCCTTCTGTGCCTGTTCCTTTGACTAAAAGTTTTTCCTTTTCTCCACCACGGTCTCGGGTGTTCAATGACACGATTAGCGACCACCAGCTCGCCTGCGCACTCACGGCCTTTTCCTAATGTCCATCGAATTTCTGATAAAAATTATGACTTTACTTTAATTGATTTGAAATTTGAATAACTGAAGTTTATTACTTTATTAATTTTAATGCTACCTCTAAGTAGACACTTTGGTAATAACCAATCAGGCTTATTGTTTTATGTGTGAAATGTAGTTATTAAATGAAAACCTAAGCCTGTGTTTTCATATGTCCTGTAATAAGGCATGACTGTAGTCCGTTGCCACTCAAGAAGTTAGGGCGAGGGCAAGGAAGGCCGGGAAGGAGGAAGCAGACGAAACGCTGGAGAGGAAAGGGAAACCACTTTCTCTCTCCAGCATTCCTCCTTCTTCCTCCTTCCCGGCCTTCCTTTCCCTCGACCTACCTTCTTGAGTTGCAACAAACTATAGACTATCGGATAACTTTGATTTGCCTTTCCGAAATTTGACAGAGACATTTAAAGGTATAGTGCAACGATTTTAATGTAGAAAGAATTGGTAGTTTGCATTTTTTTTTTATTGTTCATGCAAGCCCAAGTGATTAAAAAAAAAAGTGTCACCTTTCTCCAAAAAATTGCTATTCTGCTGCGTAATCGCAAAGTAAAAAAAAACTAATTATTTGCCGATCTGCAGCCGCCTGTGGTGGTAACGGGAACGAAAATGATAGCGTCTCCGGGGGATACGCAAAAGTGAACAAAACTTGTCCCCCCCCGCTGCTACACTCGCCACCGTTAGCCCCGTGGCGGACCGTCTTTTGTGTCGATCGCTCGCCGCTACCTTTGGCGATGCTAATCCTTTAAAAGTAGACAATCGCAGTGGAAGCGGCTGTGGTCTCTTGAGGCTGAAGAGGGGACCCAAGGGGAAATCACGTGATTCCCTAGAGTATGTCACTCGAAAGTCGGCGTGGAGAGTTGAGAGGCACTTTGACCTTTGATTTGTTTCATTTTTTTTTTTTTAAATAAAAACTAGCGTTTGCAAGAAATTACGGTTTTTTGTTTTTCGTTTTATAGGTGATGCAGATTCATTTCCGCAGTTAATTGGCCAAAGTTCTTTTCAAAGTCATCAATTTACTTTGTTTACAGGCCCTCCCTGGGAAATTTTTGACGTGTTTTTGCTCTTTGCGCGGCGCCGCCAGCAGTTAGTTCGGCTGGCTTCTTAGCAATGATGACGCCGTTGCTATGGAGCCACATGACGCGTCGCAGCCAATGGGAATTAGGTGCCGTTTGCCGGCTTCACTCCATGGTACGGTCAATGCTTTCGCATTAAGAAACTTTGACGTATGCTAACTTTGACTGTTGTCTTTTGGTTTCTTGCAGAGGGCAAAATAGAGGTCACAAAGGAGAGCAAATTCTTGTGCACTCTGGGGCCAGGAAAGGTCTTTGGGGAGTTGGCCATCCTCTACAACTGCACAAGGACTGCAACTGTGAAGGGTGAGCGCCCCTCGCATTTGACTTGCCTTCTCATGTTTCTTGTTCTATTTTGAAACTCCAACTGGGTTAACGTTTCCCGATTCTGCAATCACCACAGAAGATCTTAACCGTCTAAAGCAATATTATCATTAGTGTTTTGTGAATATTTGAATTTTTGAATCGTAGTTTTGAATAATACGCTATTCAATATTCGCTTCGATGTGTACTGCGATGTTCGTACCTACCCGAGCACCTGCGCACTGCGGGGAAGCAATGCTCGTGGAGCTCGCAGGCTTCGCATGTATTGCTTCCCCGCAGTACATAGGTGCTACGTAAGAAGCACACTCAACGTGGCTGACCTGCCACAATTATATAAGTGTATATGTTAATAATGCAATTAATGCGAAGGTGCTAGCGAGCTGGACAAGAATGACGATAATAAGGTTATATGTTAGGCAGCCGCAGCGATGTCTGGATGGCCTGCGTTCATCATTCGTGCTTTTTTTTTTTTTTTTTTTCAAATTTAAAATGGAAGAAAGAATATTAGCAAATAGCAAGCAAATTTATAAATTCTTTCGATTAGGATAGCTGCAATACATCTCTGGTTTACATGCCACGGTTCATATAGTTATATTAAAATTATCCAAGCTTAGAAGTGGACAAGTGGAAGGTTGGAAACAACCTTCGAGAGTTCAGCTGAATGTTTGTTTAAGCATGGTGTAGAGTAGTAAAAGACTGAGAAACTAAAAGTAAGGGCGCAAACGAGCTGGTGTACATTGCACATGGTTGAAAAAACCCCGAGACTGCGGGTAAACGACACAACACTAAAAAGTCTCTAAAGACTTTTTAGAGACTTTTTAGTGTTGTGTCGTTTACCCGCAGTCTCGGGGTTTTTTCAACCATGAGAAACTATTTGATATTCATTTCGAAAATATTCGACTAAAACAATTATTCGCTTCAAACTCACAATCAACTACTCGCACATGATCTGGATGAACTGCTAAGAGGTCGCAAATGCATAATTCAGCTCGGAACCTGTTATTATGTACTAAATTGTTGTGCCAAAGTTGAAAGTTAAAGCACTCATAATATTTATAAAGTGCAACGAGACACGGACAAGAAAGAAAGACAGAACACAGCAATATGTCTGTCTTTCTCCCTTGTACATGTCTCGTTGCACTTTTTAAATATTATGAATCACCAACTGGGCCAACTTTTCACCCTTGTTAAAGTACTTTTTGTACTTCAATCTTATAACCTCATCAACATTATTTCTTTTATGAGTCAGACAGCACCATCCAGGAGGTATTTGCTTATATTCTTCTTTTTTTTTCTTGTGTCAGCACAAGGTTTTTTTAATTACAATTTCTATTTCTAAACTAGTGGAGCCATTTTTATGCATTCACCGATGGCCCCCTTTGAGGCAATGAAATAATTTGGCACAAGCATACTCATTTGATGCTTTATTTTAGGAAATTTTGGATTCTAGTGCAGCAATATCATCAGCTTGTTGATTAAGGAATAAATTCAAAGACAATCATACCACATTTGCGACACAAGAGACATTCCATAACTTCCTTTGTGCTATACACAACTTACAACCTGCCTTGCTGCTTTACACCATAGTGACATATCCGTACAATTTTTGTCCAAATCTTAACTGTGGTCACTTCCTGTCATCAGCTCCTTCATGAATAAGAGCAGGGGACCAGAAATGTTGACACCTTAATAGAAGCTTATCTTTTATTGAGTAGATTCTTTTTCACCAGTGTGTGTCCCATATCAGATGGCTGCTTTTGCAGTCCAGATATTTTTGTAGGTGCTGCTTAAATGCAGAAAAATGTGGATCTGTGTGTGGCTGAAGTGTTGACTAAATGAACATTGAATCTTCAGCAATTAGCGACTGCAAGCTATGGGCCATCGAAAGGCAGTGCTTCCAGACCATCATGATGAGAACTGGGCTGGTACGGCAGTCAGAGTACACGGAATTTCTCAAGAGGTGAGCAGGATGAAAATATTGTTATTATTATAATTAATAATATTATTTATAACTCTGGCTGATGGCTCGCATTCAACCATTGAATGCTTCATTGCTTGGCTGGCTATCAAGACTGCAGCTTCTAAAGTTCAATGCCCCATACCCTAATGCTAGTTCCTCCTGTGTTTCCAGGCATAGCATTCTATTTGAATGACATTCTTGCTCACTTTGAATGTGCATGTTGTAAGTAGCATAATTTCAGCAATTAAAAAAACTGTGAAAAGAAAAAAAGAAATTTTTACACAGTCTAGTAGGGATGCACATGTCAAAAAATTAATTTTACGCGAAAAAAAAAAAATAAATGGAGCAGTATTGACGGCATGAGATGTTATTTAGTTTGTAGTCACCTCCTTTCCACTTGTTTTCTTTCTCGTCATTTCGGGTGCATGGAAAAGAGGTGGATTGGCTTTGCCTTCACATTGAGGTGGAAAGAGCGAATTACCATCATGTTGAGCGAATGACTATTCCATGACATGATGGACTTTGTGTGCAGAATTTCAAATAAATCTCTCGCCGTCAATATATCTCTAGTTGTTTTTTTTTTCTTAATTTTTTTTTTGTAAAAGCTTTTTTTTTAACACTTGTCCCAACCAAATTGTTAAAAAAAAAAATTTTTTTTTTCTTTTCGGGGGTTTTATAAGTTTAGTTTTAAAAGAGATTAAAAGGGTATCGCATCAAATTTACTCTCACTAGTTCATCTATAAACTGATACATGCCTGTGGACCACCTCTGAATATCCAAAGATATCAACGATGTAGGTGTAACTGGAGAAGGCTGATAGATATTCATAGAACATTGCAAGTGGCGAATTAGATGCGGATGAGATATGCTGCATGTCTGTGTATGCCACATTCGCAGCTTAAGGTCCACTAAAATAAACAATTCTTGAGACCGGAAAGGGAATGTGTTATTAAGGGAGATAATCTAGATTAATTTCTATTTAAATTGAGCACTAAAAACTGAGTACCTCTGTTAATGTTTTGTACAACACAATTTTCAGTGTGCCCACCTTCAGGAAGCTTCCAGAAGAAACACTAATAAAAATCTCGGACGTTCTTGAGGAGGTCAGTGCATATGACATTGATTTCTTGAATGGAATGTTGCTGAGCATAACTGTATCTTCAGATTAATTTTATACAAGATTTTCAGCAGTATCATTCAGGAGCTGGCTTTTCATGTATACCATTGAGCTGCTGTACTTTTGTTTTAATAACTTACTTAGTCAAATTTATCAAGCTTTGATATTTATTTACATGCTGAACAACCTTATTTTTATGTGTTTCTCCAAGTGTTAACAAAGTTTCATGAGATGCCAAACTTCATTTGAGTGGCAGGCCTGACGATTTGGTGAGGCTCACAAACATTAAGGCCATATTTTATAAGGCTTGAAGTAATTAGGCCTCCTTGTATTATAAATCATCATACAGAACTTGATTATAGAATGAAACTAGGAAGACATTAATCTTGACATTAAGATTTCTGACCCTTTGTGATGCATTCTTTTTCAGACTACTTACACACAAGGTGACTACATCATCAGGCAAGGGGCCAGGGGTGACACCTTCTTCATAATAAGCAAAGGAACAGTAAGTCCTACCTACCTGTACACCTGTTCACAGCTTAGGACATTATAAGTTGATTTTTTTCCAGACATTAATTAACTTCCATAGAAAATATTTAATATATAGTTCTTTGGGAAGTAATAATTTTTATTGGAAAGTATAGAAGAAGACTTTGGAGAAAGAATGGAAACCCATCTACTTCATTTAACAGCGGTGTTTAATATAAACACGACAGTGTGCAGGCCAGAGAGCTGGTTTTGAGAAAGGACAAACATAAGAGAGAAGCTCGGGAGAGTTTGGGAGACTCAATTCAGTGAACCTTGTTAACATACAACTAACTATAAACACGCACAGATAATTTCAAGTGAGAGCAGAAATATGTTAATGCCTGCCATTACAACGAAACTCGTTGGCCACAGCAGCCGGTCTCTGCAGATAATTAAGCGGGAGCGAGCTTCAGGGTTGCACGTAGCAGTAATCCCACAATCTCGCACGTCAGTAGTAGGTCTATGTTTTGGTCCCTGTTAATCCGCGCTCGCAGGACAGCAACTAAAAACATGGGCAACAATGAAACTCTCATATAGCCAGAACGAAAGGAAAAACAAAACTGAGCAAGGATTCAATTATAGTGCTTCCACTTTAAATCTTGACCCTTCCGTCCCTGACAGCTGACCTTCATTGGGGCTTTATATACACACACTTAGCAGTCTGCTCATGCAGCTGCATATTTTCTTGCATTTTGTTTCCTTGAGCTGGCGGCTCCCTGGGGGAGAGTGGCATTGAAATAAAAGAGAGTGGCCTTTTCATTCTCTTGTTCGCATTTTTAGGTCAAGGTGACCAGGAAAGCTCCCGAGGAAGGTGGCAGCAATGCAGAGGAGGAGATCTTCATCAGAACCTTGCACAGGGGGGACTTTTTCGGAGAGAAGGCACTGCAAGGGTAAGGGAGCCATGCGGCCGAGTTTGTGCTCATTTGGCTGATTTCTTTCTTGACTGGGGAGGGTCTGTCTCTGATGACAACAGTGTGACTCGATGCACAAGTTGGGATGTCTGCCCTAATACTACGTCGTGACCTTTTGCAATGTCTTTGACTTGTGTGGTCAATTAACTTAGTCATTTGTGTCTGCATGAGATGGGAGGAATGTTTTCCTGCACCTCCTAGTGAGAGTTTTTTTTTTTTTTTTTTTTTTTTTTTTTTTTTTTTTTTTTTTGGAGGGGCGTGTTTCCTTGGAGCTCAATTTTCTAATGTTTGATTCTGTCCCCTAATTTTAATTTGCACCGGTAATTTTTTTTTTTTTTTTTATTCTTTCACTTTTTATTACGAGCATGCTTTAACTTACAGCAGGGCCTTTTTTTTTTTTCTTACCTTCGCTTTTCATTTTGTGGAACTGCTTGCAAAAGCTACATCATCTCGGCAGACAGCTATTACACTTTGTCGTTCTGCCAATTCTATTCTTTTAAGATTGTAGTTATTTATAAAAACACTGCTTACAAGAAAAGTTAATGCTCTTAGTTCTAAAACTTCTTCACAACTGACCGACCTTAATGTCTTTCTTTCCATGTGTTTTTCCTGCGCAGCGAAGAATGTCGGACGGCAAACATAGTAGCGGACGACGCGGAGGGTGTGACATGTCTAGTCATAGACCGAGAGTAAGTGACCTCCATCCAGATTCCTATTTTCCTTTAGCGTTCTACATCTAGTTTCTCCTAGCTGTCCTAGTCACCTTTCACACCATAAGAAGCGACTTTAAATTTATTCTACTTATATTAAACCTAGCTTGAAAACTTTGTTGCTCCATTATTTGTGCTAGTATATAATCTTGCTTCCAGTGACTTGATTTTAAAGATTTGAAAAGCTACCTAATTGTGAGTCTCTGTTGTATTTCTGGAGGATGGTCGACTCATCATGTGCCACGCTCTCTTTGTGCAGCTCGTTCAACCAGCTCATGAGCAACATCGACGAAATCCGAGGCAAACAGTACGACGAAGACGTGGGCGTCAGGCAGAGGTGAGAACATTTTTTTTATCTGCTCCATCGTTGCCATGTCGGTTGTATGTCATTTTGAGTGGTAGGCTTTCCCCGAAGTGCTTTTGATGAGTCGAGGTGCATATGATTTACTTAACCTCTATTCACATTCCTGTGCTGCATCTCGGATTGTGACCAGGGTAAGGAATTGTAGCTGCTCTTTAGCGGTCGTCAAACTGCCTCTTCCCTTTTTCCGTTTGTGTGCATGTCCAAATCTCAACTTTTGTTGCAGGATCAACGAAGAGTTTGCAAACTTGAAGTTGAGCGATCTCAGGGTAATAGCCACACTTGGAGTTGGTGGCTTCGGGAGGGTTGAACTGGTGAGTTGCTATCAATAAGGCATTGAGGCTATTGCGGTTCGGTGTAGGTTTTCGTTAAGCTTTCTGGGAATCATCTCACAATACTTCACACGTGTTTGCAAGGCCTTTTTTTTTCTTTTTTTTTTGTATTGCATCTACTGTTTCAAAGGAGCGTTGAAAAGGGGGTAGTACAAAGTTCAGCAATGAGTGTCATTTTTTTCGTTCAAATATATTTACCTCTTAGCAAAGATGTTAAACTTGGTTAAAGAAGTCAGGGTCCAATCACTGACACAGTTTCCCAACTATTGCATAATACTGCAGCCCACTAACATTCTTATGACTGGTATCGAATTGGCAAGTTCACCCGAGATCAATAAATCTAAATTAGGTGCTGCCGATACAACGTTCACCACAGTAGCTTTTTAAAGTAAAAGAATGTTTACAATCATAATAAGTGAAACCATCAAGTTATCTGTGCACCTCACATGTTCTCTTTCTTTACCGTCCAGGTACAAAGTGTGCACGACCCGCTGCGGTCTTTCGCCCTCAAGGTGATGAAGAAGGCACAGATTGTGGAGACCAGGCAGCAGCAGCACATCATGTCGGAGAAGATGATCCTGGAAGAGACAAACTGCGAGTTCATTATCAAGTGAGTCCACTCTGCTGCATCTTTTCTTTCGTCACTATAAATCTTTTCTGTTCCTGACTTCTAGGTTTGCTTAGTTTCTCTTTAGTAAATATTTCACACTTCCTGAACATTTACTATTGAAGGCAACTGTCAAAACTATTAGCATTGCGAAATGTGTATTTGCAGCAATAACTTGGGTTATAAAGTTTGGCGTTCGAAACCAATCTCAATCAATAAATTCAGGTCATTGTTGAGTTGACCACGTGTTCTGCTGTAAATTTCATACACTTTGGCAGTGCTAGTGTCATGGCATTGACACACAACCGGGAACAAAGAACTGAATGTAGTTCTGGTTAGAGAAATTATCTTTGATCGTTAACCAAAACAAGCCATACTCAGTCTAAGGAGCTGACGAAGCCATTGTCCTTTACATTGGTAGAGAGTGCAATGGATGTCCTGACATGAGATCGCTTTAATAATGCAATGAAGATGAACCATTATAACATGTTCTATTAATGATGTGGCCTGCCAAGATCAATATTTCTATAACGCTCAATCAATCCAGACAAACCAAGATTTGGAAGTGTGTACTTTTAAGAGAGCTTTCACTGTGTTATAGTTGTAACCATGAAGTTCCCTACCATTATATCATGCTTTTCCTAGACTCGTTAAGGTTACAAACAACATTGTCTTTGGCAGACAGCTTTTTGCGTCTGTCAGCATGTTACGTACGCTACTTATGCTATCGATTTCCCAAGGAAGCAGGATGCATAAAAGTTTGTATGTTTCGCATGTAATTTCCTTTGGGCAAGGTGCATAATGCCCGCTGCATTGTTGAAGTCGAATTGTTTGGGCCATTTGATTTTCCTATCTGTAGTGTATGGTGTCCCTCCCTCCCCCCTAAAAGAAAACTGTTTTTTTATTGCAAAAATAAACATGCATCGCCGAAGGCTCATTCTCCGCCCAAATGTGGCGCTAGCTGTTCGAACCAAATACCAAAGCTTCAGAACTAACCCTTATCTTACTCAAAAGTTATAAATTCTTTTTTTGAAATTTTCAATGGGAAAATGTTGGCCAACAGAGATCTCTAATACATACAGAAAATGGTGAAAATGGACCCCATTTTCCCGTTGAAATTCTTAGAAAATCACTTATAACTTTTGAATGAGATAACGGTTAGTTCTGAAACTAGCATTGGTTCGTACCACTAGTGCTACATTTGGGCTGAGAATAAGTTTTGGCAATGCATAATTTATTTTTGCAATCAAACAAAACTTTACTGCAATTTATTAGGACACACTGTGCATTTAAAGCAAGGACATAGGAATGAAAAATGGCATCTGATTCTGCAGTTTGAAAGTCACAGCACTTCTTTATGCAACACCAATCAATGGTCAGTTGGCACCTCTGTTAAGGGGGGACACTACCCAAAAAAGTCAACTTCTGTACCGCTTGCTTGATTTGAATCACATTTGCAGTGGAAGTTTATATGAGTGGCAAGCCCATCCCTGCCAAATTTCGTTGGCCTATGTCGGTTCTGAAACTTGTTACGAATGTTACAATATGGAAGTCAGTGTTACAATATGTAACACGAATGTTACAATATGGAAGTCGCTTAGGAAAACTATTGTTTTAATATAAAATAAAAGTTGGTGATATTATGTGTAATTTGTGTAATATAGTCATAGGAATACTTCTAGTACATACCCAGCTTGTTATTCTGCTATATTGCATTGTTTTTAATAAGTATAACTCCAAAGAAGATCAATTTTTTTTTTTCGTGTCTGCCCTTTCTTACAAATGTAGCTTTTTAGCATAAAAGAATGTTAAAGTAGAAAAACTAACCAGGCAGGCACGTTCCTCACAAAATTCTATCCCAGAAAAATACCTAACAATAATTCTCTATTGTGTAATAGGAAAACGATAGTTTTCCTAAAGTGAAATTTATGCCGAAAGGTGCAACGGAGAAAAATGCATTCAAAGTGCTCCAACCACCACCTTTTCTTTAGCTTCGATAGACCAAAAATAATATATAAAAAATTAACTATGCAGTTTAAACAATTGAAACTTTCTGGGAATATACTTTAGATGTTGATGGATGTAAATATGAGATTTTTTCAAAATCAACGTTTTTTGGAGAAATTTTTTTTTGTTTTGAGTAGTGTCCTCCCCTAACAGGTGCTGCAGCGTAAAAACCTGTGCCCCTGTGCTATGTAGGTTTGATCACAAACAGTAACATTGCAAATGCAATTCAACTTCACCATTAGCTTGGGAGTGCTACAGAGCCTACTGTATGCAACAAAAAATTCTATGAAATAGGGTTTTGACTCTGTCCAAACTGTGCCTAGATATGTAAAGAAAGCAATCCAAAATATATTTTTACGACCATCTCAACTGTACTTAATTTTCATGCTATAAATGCTGAAGACAAAGCATCTCCATTTGAGGTTCCATACATTCTCATTTGTATGCAGTTCATCCACACTAAATCTTTTTTTTATTTGGCTGCTTGCCTAGGCTTAATTTATTTAAATTTGGGCAAGGTCAACATCCCTTTTTTTTCCCGAAGCTTTTACAATCTTCATAGTTTATTCCAATGGAAAATGCAAGAGGCAAAAGGGTCTTTGCTTATGTGCTTGCATGTCTAGTGTAGTGCGTGAATGGTCGACCCAAAAAGCGCCACCCTTTCTCGGGGATCCATCCCCATTTGCAGGCTTTTCAAGACCTTCAAGGACAGGAAATACTTATACATGCTGCTCGAACCATGCCTGGGGGGAGAACTCTGGACAATTCTCCGTGACAGGTAACAACGCACAATGGCGTAGTATTCTGGACAAGACTACTATCGTTCTTTGCTGTTCCTTGGTGTGTATGCTAGTTGTATATGCTTTTGTCTACTCCTTGTTTGTCTTCTATTTCATTTCGAAGTCTACGGAAACTTTTTTTTCCCACTTTGGAGAGAATCGAGATTTAACCTACATTATCAAGGAGTCTTTTTGGGCGTATTTATTACGAGAAATCAGATAGTATACTTTGTCTGGGGGTGTTTGATCTTTGTTGCTATTTTCTTTCAAATCTTAACCAATCAGGTTCGACTTGGAGAGCTCATAGAATCATGCCTAGGGGATTAAATCATCAAAGTGGAAGAGTACAAGATCATGCAACCACCACCAGAAAACAAAGATGGACAAAGAAACAAGATGTGTTCATTATGAAAAATCTGAGACTAGGAACAGAAAATGGATAAAAAGGGACACGCATAAAGACCGTCTCAAAACACAGCTACAGATTTTATTTCACATCCTCACATTTATACAATCGTCCACCCTCCCCAAAGGTTACCAACTCCTCACAACAAGGTAAGAACGAACACGAATAACAACATCCTCTGATACGGGGTGACCCCAACCACAAGCATGATCAACAAAGGAATGGACCCTCGCTACACTGACCTTTGACCGAACCCCATTAGTGATCCGCAGAAACCTTTTAATTTCTCCACTCAACGACAGGGACAGCTGACTTGTGCAATGTCCATGGCTAACAATCTGCATCCTTTCTTTCACAATTCGCCTATTATGCATTCTTTCTCTTTCTTTAGGACACTTGTTTTCTCACAAACCGGTTTGCACCCATTGCATTTTTCAACACCCTTTCTAGCTCCGAGGTTTGTGTGTTAGTTTTAACTACCCTTCTATGCTCCAAAATTTCATCAGTTAAACAGCATCCAGTCTGCCTGATGTAGGAAAAACCACTTTTCAAGGGAATGCTATACACAACCTTTTCTTCACAAGAAACCGCGGGATTCCTATGTTTATTGAGACACTCTCGACGAACCCTAGAAAAACCTGTTAAAATTTCGAGCTATATGTTGTGCCTTGAATACGAGAGCTACGTCAAATTTAGTCGCTACTTGAGGTTGCACGAAATCCAATGATAGTAAGGCACCGAAACCATATTTTTAACCCTATTTGTTCCAGAGGGAGCTAAGCTAAAACCTTTCACTAATTTTAACCCAATACTAGAAAAGACAGCTCTGTTATTGATGCAACTTCTGGATTGTGCCATAGTATCAAAATGTTATAGCATACATTTAGACTGAAAGTAAATTTTCAGCTTAGAGGGGCGAGATTATCAAATTTCTTCGTGCCTAGTGTTCGCATGTCATGATGAGTGTGCAGAAAGCCAACATGATTGCTTCCCTTTTCCCAGGGGCAACTTTGACGACAACACCACGAGGTTCTACACTGCCTGCGTTGTGGAGGCTTTTGACTACCTGCACGCCAGGAACATCATCTACCGTGATCTCAAACCTGAAAACATGCTTCTGGACATCAGTGGCTACATCAAGCTGGTGAGGGCACACCGTTCAGATGTTGCGTTTTTATGGTGTAGCTTCACAAGCAGAGCTTTCTATGAGCATCGAGATATTCTGCAGTCACCTCTGTGGAGTGTTATGGCATAAGAATATTGCAAGCTGAAAACCTCCAAAAGGCCATAGGAATCTTTTTGTCACTTATAATGTATTTTTAATCTCGTTATTTCTATGTAACTTTCTAAGCTTTGTACTTGATATTCGAGGGCCCTTAAAGTATCTAGATGTTCTTTTCATGTTCTTAACCATAATACATTCTGGTTATACCTATATGTCCATGTATATCTGTGCAAGAGAAACATTTTGTTACCTTATGTAAAACACTCGAAAACTGTTTTAAATGTTTTAATTTAGTAAAGGAATTTATAATATGATGCCACCGTGAGAGTTCTGCAACAACTTTATATCAGTACTTAGCAACTTTTATGACATTAGTTCCGGCCCATTTAAAATTATTTGTTAGCTTCCCTGACTCGGATATGTTAGCCAAAGACAAACTTCTGCCACGCTTCTCAGCATTGTGTGTGATGTTCAACAGTGCTGAGGAAGGGCAAGGTCTCTCAAAGCGTGGAAAGAAGTGGCAGCAATAGCTCGATAGGCGCAGGCGTTCAAGCTATGCTTCGACGCAGCAAGCCTTGTATTGTTTCTCTTCTGAAGGTCGCCTAGCTTTGCGTGGCCTCCTGTCTGTTCACATTGCAATCCAGAAGAAACTGGCACAATGCGACGCGACTCGTCCGTTACCAACATCCCGAGGCAGGCTTCGGCTCCACGGCGCCATTACTGCGCATAGACTACAGAGTGTTTCCAACTGCTTCATCAGGTTCATGGGTTTATGGGCAGTGCTTGCAATACAAGCTGCAAAGGAGGCGACAGAAGCGTTGAACGTCTGCAAGCGTCTCCGCCTTTCCGCCCGCTTTTCTCCTCACCACACAGCAATGCAATGCGCGCACACTTGCGACCAATCAGCGCAGGAGGCATACGCCATTAAATTGCAAATGCTCTGAGTAACTTACCCACTCCCTCTCCTAAATTTAGGCTTTCTAGGCACCAGAGGGCACGTTGCCATCTCTCGGCAGACAAGCAAACTTCCTGGTTGGGCGTGGTCACGAGATTCGATGATGTGATTTGGTTTTCTGCCTAGCACAACACTGCCGCAAATGCAGCTGGGAATCGCCTCCCCTATAACAGCTGTTGCTGTAAAAGCTTTCTTCAATCTCGCCTTCCAGGTGGATTTTGGCTTTGCCAAGAAGCTGGTGAACGGCCGCAAGACGTGGACGTTCTGCGGCACCCCCGAGTATGTCGCTCCCGAGGTCATCCTGAACCGGGGTCACGACATCTCGGCCGACTACTGGTCCTTGGGGGTCCTCATGTTCGAGCTCCTCACGGGAGCGTGAGTGTTTGCCCATTTGTCGACATATTCCTGTCCTCCTGCCTGACGGCTTCGTGCGTCGGAAAGCGAACGCTGGGCACTGCGGAACTCGTCTTCATATCAGCTTCTCTCGTGTATAAGATATGCACGTACACTTTAACATTCTGTCAGAAACCACTCATATTGATGCACCGCACCTGTAACTAGAAAAGAAGGGAACATTTACATTCAAAATAGAGCAAGTTCAACTTTGTAATTTCATTGTTTTATTCGAGAGAAGATGCGTTTTTTTGGTGTTGAGATGTTGTCTTGCTGGTTGTTATTGGTGATATAAACATCGAGGTACTAGTAGCTGGAATGCTGAGCCGCCGTCACAAATTACTCGCATTCATTTGCAGCACTGCTCGTTGATGAGGCAGCACACAAACTTTCCATATCTGATGTTGAGCCAGTCAGGTACCGTTGAAAGCAGTGGCGTACCAACTTGTTTTTCAGTGGAAGGGCAAACCAGACTCCCCTCCCCTTCCTTCCTCCTTCCTTACCCCCAGGACCGGAGGGCGGTGCCCTTGTTATCTCTTGGGCGCCGCCGGCCAGAGTTCTTCCTGCCCAGTGGTGGCTGTTTCAAGGGGGGGCAAAACACAGGCCTTGCCTGCCCCCCCCCCCCCTTAGAAAACTGGGGGGGGCAAGCACCCCCCTTGCCCCCCCCAGTTGATACGCCCATGGTTGAAAGTTTCCAAATTGTCAATGAAAGACTAACATGGTGCCTGTGCAACTATGCTATGCATGATATGGATTAAACAGAGAAGAACACGGATGGAGAGTATGAAACAAGCAACTTCAGCTGTGTTCAGGGTCGGTCTTACCAATAGGAAGAATAGGCAGCCCATTTTTGGGGGCGGCCAATTTGTGGCCACCTCCTAATTAATTGGCTCCTTTTTTTTAAAAATCTAGCTCCTAGTTTAACTACTGTAGGAATTCCAGCTCTAAATTCAGTTACCTTTGAAAATTTTAACTTCAAACTTGGTTGCTTCCCCTGGGGAGTGGGGTGTCGAGGGGGGATGGGGAGCGGCGGCAGCCTAGTGTAAAGGCTGTCTTGGGCGGCAAAATGCTAAGTCCGCCTCTGACTGTGTTACATATCTCTTAAAGGGATTGTCCGGTGATATTCAGAAGTTACTAAGTTTTTGCGCTGGTCACTAAGAGAGGGCTTAAATATAGTCATATCTGATATTTATTTCATTAAAAGATGACCCAACATTTGTTAAATCAATTATGGACATCAATACGAAACTTCAGTCCAAATTTTGCAAGTATGCTTAGCTGGTCATGTCATGATGTCACATCAGGCATGGTAAAGTCAGAGTCGCGGGGGGCGTTGACTTATTCCCGATTTTGATCAGCATGGTTGATGGTGCATATAAAGATCATCGGCGAAGATTTGAGCTTCTTTATACTGTAAATCTTGTCTTTCTTAGAATGAAGTTGTTTTACTGAAACAGCAGTCAAAAGCTCAGGTGGCTCTCTTTGCCTGATGTTACAGCAGAGCTTGCATTGTTGCCAACGGAAACGCTGTGTATTTTGCAGGTGCAATCTAAGCAGTTGGGCTCTGTTTAAAATTGGATTACTTGTGTGGCGGAGGATTAAAAATTCAAATATTGTGCAGATGATATTCTTGAAAGCAATGACAATATTATTTAATTGTTTTCTGAAATACAAAATTTTGGCGGACAATCCCTTCAAGAAAATCTTGCATGCAGACCGCCCTTCACGGATGCTGACTTCATGAAGACGTACAACATCATCCTGAAGGGGATTGACGCCATCGACTTCCCAAGGTGCATCACTCGGAATGCAACCGCCCTCATCAAGAAGCTCTGCAGGTGAGGCGTCCCCCATCTCCCCACACTGCCATATGCAGTGATTAAGATGGCACGATGGCCTTTTGAAAGGACTCTATAGATCATTTTTTTAATATTGCACTATGGTTTACTATGAAGGTGCCCATAGGTGGTGTCTTTATATTTTGAAAGTATGAGTTAACCCGAGTCAAAAGAAAAAAAAAAAATGAATACCGTATTTACTCGCACAATGAACGCACTCGCGTAATGAACGCACCCCCCAAGTCGGCTCTCAAAATTTCGACTTTTTTTTCACTTGCGTAATAAATGCACCCCCATTTGGACGTCAAAATTTTGACCCCCTCCCCCTACGCGCGCGAAATGATTGCACTTTTCTATCCTAGTGCAGCAAGGTCGTGAATGCATGAGCAGCGTGGGCGAACAAAATGTATTGCAAAAGGCGTGAAAAAGATTCGCAAAGATCCAATGGAAGCAAGAAAAAAAAAAAAAAAAACACGGATAGGAGCTTTTTTTTTTTTTTTGCACAGCACATGGAGTTTGTAGTTACCTGGTACTTGTATTGCTACAAAAACTTTGTCACCTAAATGGTGGGAGGAGCTCAGAACATGTGGCACATTCTTTGTGTCCCAACTTTATTCGTGGGGCTAAGATACCTTCAAATTTCTTTTTCTGTAACTCATCGTATGGGTTATCCACAGTGTATACCGGTTGGGTATTTTTTTTAGGCTTTACAGATTTGCTTTAAAAAAAGCTGTGAAAGTTGCACTAATGCGGTTTTTGCAAATGGGTTATATGGACAGGGGCCATAGTACTATAGGGGGCTAATTGTCGCGACAAGTCGGCGAGTTAACTAGAATATGTTCATTAACCTTTTAGTTAGTGAAAATCAACAAAGTTGGGAGTTGTTTGGGTGTATATCGCTACAACGCCTCCCGTAATAATGGCTGTGTGCTATAGACCGCCAGATAATGATAAAAATTTGTTACCAAGCTGTATAAGTGTCTTTCTGAAATCACAACTAAATACCCTAATGCCTTTGTTACTCTTTTTGGCGATTTCAATTACCCGAACATTGACTGGTCCGCCCTCTCTTCTAGTTGCGCTTTTTTTCAAGAATTTATAGACTTTTGTTTAGATTTCAACTTCTCAAATGTTATCACTCAGCCCACTAGGATTACTAATCACTGCAGCAATATACTCGACTTATGCTAAAGCCAAGACCCCTCACTCTTCAGTAATATCACGTACTTACCCAGCATTAGTGACCATCTTGTCATCAATTTAACTCTCTCTCTCTCTGTTCCTCGTAGATCACATTACTGCAAATTCATTCGTAATTACGCGAGAGCTGATTACGCATCTATCAACTCGAACCTCGAAGATTTTTATCATACTTTCTCAGTTAACTTCTGGGAAAGTACGGTAATTGAAAACTGGACTCTCTTCAAAGATAAAATGATCTACCTAATAGAACGTTTTATTCCACTGACCCGTATTATATCTGATAACACTAACCCTTGGTACAATAAAACAATTCATAGGCAATCCAATAGAGAAAAGACTCTATAAGAGGACTAAGGCTGTCAACACTACGGCTTCCTGGAATGCCTACCACGAATGCGCTAGGGCTTATAAATCCTCCATTGATCAAGTTAAAACCAAATTTTATAGTATCGTCTTCCCCAACATACTAACCACCAAACCAAAGAAGTTTTGGAAAATAATCAATCCGGCACTATCTATTCCTTTGCAATTTGTAGATGACGATGGACTTCCGCTTTCAGATAAACACGGCGCTCTTGCTATTAACAATTTCTTCTGCTCCATCTTTATCAACGAGGACTTGCTAAATATTACCGACTTGTGCCAATCCATTCACCCTCTTATGAATCCTATCTTAATTGACCGCACTGGATTACTTAAGGCTATAGATCAACTGAAGGTATCCTCCAGCTCTGGAGGTGACCAAATTAACTCTAAGGTATTAATAAACACTAAACACATTTCTTCCACTTTCCTTTGCGACATATTTTCTCAATCTCTTAAACTCTCTGAAGTTCCATTCGATTGAAAAATTGCTAACGTCATACCCATTTATAAAACAGGCGATCGCCAACAAATCAGCAACTATCGGCCCATCTCCCTCACCAGCGTTTCATGCGAACTCTTGGAGCATATTCTCTATTCTAACATAATAAACTTTCTTGACTCTCATAACCTCCTTTTCAAGCACCAGCACAAATTACGCAAGTCATACTCGTGCGAAATTCAGCTAACAGCATTTCTAACTGACGTTTACTCAAATTTCGATTCCAATGTTCAAACTGACGCCATCTTCATTAACTTCTCCAAAGCACTCGACAAGGTCCCCCATCAACGACTTTTAAAGAAACTAAGAGATATTAATCTTCACCCCTTTGTAGTCAATTGTATTTCTGTATTCCTCACTAATCACACTCAGTACACTTCTGTTAACAACATAAAATCTACCACAAGCACAGTAACGTCTGGCGTCCCTCAAGGAACCGTTCTCGGCCCCCTTCCTTTTTTAATCTACATTAATGACCTCCACCATGGCATCACTTCTGAAATATGTTTGTTCGCCGATGACTGTCTCATCTATAGACTGATTCATTCATGCCACGGTCAACTAATCTTGCAGAACGATCTCCAACTTATAATTCAGTGGTGTCATAAATGGCAAATAGCTTTAAACTATAATAAATGTAAATCGCTATCTTTTTCCCGCAATTCACATGTTCTATCCTCCTCTTACCACCTTTCTAGCATCCCAGTAACTGCTTGTTCATCGTATAAATATATAGGAATTCATCTGACATCTGACCTGTCATGGACCACTCGCATAACATCTGTCATCCCCGATGCTAACCGCACTCTCGGATTTCTTCACCGTAACCTCAGCAAGCTACATCCCCAGTAAAACAACTAGCTTATACTACCTTGGTCAGAACTAAACTAGAATTCGCTTCTTCCATATGGTCACCGTGGCAGTCATACCTAGCTAACAACCTGGAATCCGTTCAAAGCAGAGCCCTCCGTTTTATTTATTCCGACTATTCCCCTTACGCAAGCATATCAGGACTTCGCCAATCAGCTAACCTTGACACTCTTTCTCACCGCCGCAGGATGTCTCGTGTTTCTTTTCTTCATCGGATCTTTTATTATAACAGTCATCGCAGACAAAGTTTGTTATCCCCTCCTTACCGCATTTTCCCTCGTCTTAACCATTCTTGTAAACTCCGTCCAATTTCATTGTCAACCGTCACTCACCAAATGTCTACTTTACCATTGGCCATTGACGACTGGAACTCACTGCCTGACGTAATTGTTTCCTTATCTGACACTAAGAAATTTTCTGCAGCCATTGGCTTATTTTTTTCTAACCTATAACTAGATTGCAGCGTGTTTTTGTTGATAAATAGTTGTGTTATTTGTTTGGTTTTGAAGTGTTCACTCCCCTGTATAATGGCCCCTGGGCCTTCAAAGAATAATAAATGATGATGATGATGATATGTTTCCAATGAGAAACTTGCTTAGCATCATTGAAAACCACTAAATCAGTCAATTTTAGAAAAACTTAGACCGTCCGAAAAACATGGCAGAGCACTAAAGTTATCACTCGTGCTGCGGGAACTAGGCTACCGGTGCAACAATGCTCCCGTTGGGGTTTTTCGTCCCTTATCATCCATGTTTTCTCACCGCCACCCCTCTGCCTGTTGCCCGAATGGCAACTTCAGTGCGCTACTGCGCTTCCCATGAGCTCAAGGTTTTTCTAAAGAAATGCATACTTAGTGGTTTTCGATGATGCTTAGCAAGCTTATAATTGGAACCATATATTTAATTTAACTAACTAAATATAGGCATAAAGAACAAATATCAGTTAATTATCCGACTAATTGTAACGATTAGCCCTCTATATCATGTCCCCCTGGCCATATAACTCACCTGCTCAGTTTGAATTAGTCTAACTTTTGTGGCTTTTTTCTAATAAATCTGCTGAATAAAAGAGGTCAGGTTGATGCTATCTTCAGAGATTATTCGAAGGCATTCGATAAAGTCTCGCATCCTAAACTACAGTACTTCTGAAGCTGAAAGTTATACTGAAAAATCCACTTTTAATCGACTGGATTACAGGGTATTTAGAAGACAGGTCACAATTTAGTTTCGTTTGGGAATGCTTCTTTTTGGGAAGCCTCGGTTGATTCTGGTGTACCGCAGGGGTTTGTGTTAGGATCTTCTTTATTTTTTTTTTTTATATTAATGACAGTGTAGAAAACATGCCGGTTAAAATTTGTTTTCATGCCGACGATTGCGTTCTGTACATATATGTTATTTCATTAAACGATCAACTCCTACTTAATGAATCCTTTGTGCGCTTCTTTGACTGGAGCAAAGAATGACAGATGGAAATAAGCTTTGACTCATGAGGTTTCCAAAGTCATTTTTTGTGTTTGGCTATGGCAAACCGCTTTTAAAGCTTCGTTCGGACAATTCTGGAGTATGGATCCATTGTCTGGGACCCATATCTAAAAGAAGGACATTAATCCTCTCGATTCAATTCAGTCTACAGCAGTTAGGTTTATTTACAATAAGTACAGGTAACATTTCTCACCATCGTTTGCTATGATAGTGTTGGGAATTGAACCCTTGTCTTTCAGGCGGACTGTCGAGCAGCCCAAAATGTTTATAAAATTATCAGTGGGGATTGTGGCATCCAGTGCATAAACTGTATTAATTTCACAGATGTCACTCGCACCAGACGGTTCCACCCTTCAAACTTTGTTTCAATTCCCAATCTCATATCGGTTGTTCCAACAAAAATTTTCTTTTCCTAGCTCTGTTGAGTTATGGAAGAGTGTTAATGGCTCTACATGCATGCTTTCCTATGATGACTTTATATTAGAAATGGGTAAACCTACCTTGCCTCGATCTGTGGCTGTGAAATCAATATTTCTAGGGTTTTGCTTTTGTTCAATATATTGATTTATTCTAACCACTGTTTACCAGTCCTGGAATGGCCTCAATTAAGGTCGCAGTATGTCCAAATAAAATAAAGTAAATAAAGATAAAACGCCTTGTGTATAGTTAGTGACTGGATGTGAAGGACAGGGTGTCTCTTTCGCATGCCCAGCCTCCAGCGTGCACTTGTTCCCTTCTGTCAAACTTGGGCTGCATGTGCATGCTTGAGGCTCGCAAGATGCTGAATCCTTATTGAAACAGGAAGCTTGCATTGGAGGCAGGGAACGATCTCCCTGCCATTCTTGTCCTTTTCATGTCGATAGCTGCCAGCAGATTGCACTAAAGTTGAAGTGCTAACACGTGTGCGCTCGTCGTTCATTTTAGCACTTTCAACGTAGTTAATCCGAACCATCTGTGCTTTCAGAGACAACCCAAACGAGAGGCTAGGTTATGGCAAGGGAGGTATCAGAGACATCATGAAGCACAAGTAAGCAGGCTGGTTCGCTTCCCATTCGTCGAACGACGTTGTTGCCGGTGCGTCATCCAAAGTGCCGAGTAATTTACCAGTTGTGGTCGTACGACAGGTGGTTTGATGGCTTCAACTGGGAAGGCCTCCACACCAGGACGCTGAAACCGCCCATTATTCCGCAGGTATGTCGCCATTGTGCTGCTTTCAAACCCGACCTGCATTTATTGTGCACATTAGGTTGGATATATGTAGACTTCTTGTCTCACTTGTTAGTGCCAGGGGCATGGGAAGCATTTGGGAGATGGGGGGGGGGGGGGGGGGGGGGGGGGGGGGAGAGGTTCCCCACTGTTTCCCCGCTGTTTCCCCGCTGTTTGCTATTCTCGGCGACAGGTTAAAAGTTCAAGGGTAGCCCCTCCCACCCCTTTGCACTTTAGTAGAGCGAGCGCTGGATAGAGGAGGTCGCCTTCTCCCCAGCGTTCAATCTGTTAAAGTGGGAGAGAGGTGGGAGGAGCTTTCCCTGAACTCTTTACTTGTCGCCGAGTGTAGAAGTGTGTGAAATATCTAAGAGATAGGGGAAGACCCCTTTCCCCCTCTCTTAGATTTTTTTGTTTTTTTTTGTTTTTGTTTTGCTTTGTCACAAACGTTTTTCGATCCTTCTGCTCGTGGTAACATCATTCTGGAAGAATGAGTGTTTACTGAACTTGCAATTTTTTTTTTTTTGAGTGGAAACAAACTTGTATTTACATGTTAACAAAAGAAAGCATTGGTCTGTTATATCCTTCATTCTTCTATTCAGAACCATTCTCTGACCTTAAGGTCTGCGGTTACTACGTTCTGAGAGAATGGATGCTCGGGTGGAGACCGTCTTGCTTTCAACCCACACGCGGGATTATCCAATTCATGAGGAAAACTGTGCAGTCCCAACACCACACTGGCACGGCGTGAAAAGGACTCGAGTCGAACAGAAACCGTAAACTGTGCCCAAGCCCAAAAAGACCAAGGACCAGCAGGCTGGGCACAAAATAACGAAGGCGTGCGCCGTGTTTGTTTTTGTTGCTGAATTGGTATGCCAACTTGTGCTTCTAGCAAACACAAAGCAAACTGGGAAGACCTAAGTGGCACATTAACCAGGTAGGCGTGTGGGCAGGGCACTCGTATTATCCAGTCATGTTTGCGCGAGAAATTACAGGACCATATAAATTTTTCTAATTATCTGGGATTTCGGATAAACTGACGTTGAATTGTGGAGGTTCTACTGTATGCAATGCGACACTGCTATAACAAACAAACAATAGCTGACTTTTTTTTTTTTTTTTTTTTTTATAGAACGAAAGAGTTGTTAGGTCTACTGTGTAGCATGGTGGAAAATGCTCATTTGAAGCACTGACTTAAGTGATAAAACTTGGTGCCTGCCAATGCCCTTTAGAAAAGGAAAATGCAAAGAAGAGCCGAAGTTGTACTTGCACCAAAGGCCCGGTCGTTCACACATTTTTATCCGAGTGTAATCAACTGTGTTTCAACCGCCTGTGACCACTGACAATGAGAATGTGCACTAGTGTCATCTGTCGGGAAGCCCTGGAATACTACCAATCTGCATACATTAGACGCATTATTCTTTCACCGCACGCTTCAAATAATTAGGACAGTGTTATGTGGACATAAACTGAGTGAGAGGAGGCTACGAGAGCACAGGGATATAAATCACACTGGTTTTGCTATGATAATTTAAATCAAACATTTCCTGCAAAATTCCTGATATGTCCCTATATTTACTGTTTGTGCATAATATGATGCTTGCTACGTGCATTTGTTTTTATTCACATAAGAAAGAAACATCTAGCAAGAAAGATTTATGTCAAGTTGAACACAAGCAAAAAGCAGTGCCCTTCTAAACAAATTTAGAGCGTTGAAGTCACCTTCTACCTTCCACTTCGTTTCTCTGTCACGTAGCGGCCTTTGCAAGCATATCAGAACGAGAAAGAAAAAGCAAATACAGCTTTTCTCATTAACTAAAAAAATAAAGCTGTCTTTGTTTTAGCATGGCAGGGTTTGGATCAACAAAAGGTTGCTAATTGATGTGTTAGATTTACACTCATTCCATTAGATTTACACTCATCTGCCGTGTTTACAATACATTTACTGGTAAAGAATCAGTATTTTGACGAAAAGGTAAACAGCTCACGGTAAACGGGGACTAAAGGAAGTGCACACAGGACAAGTGCTTGTCCTGTGTGCACTTCCTTTAATCCCCGTTTACTGTGCGCTGTTTGCCTTTTCGTCAGTATGAACCAACCAACCCACATCGCCACCCTTAGTCTCCATTTTCCAGCTACAGTGATTTAAATCAAATGAATGTGGCAGATAAATCTAATTTATTTAATTGCTAAAGAAAATAAAGCTTTCACTAAGCTAATAATGAATGCAGGTTTTCAGGACATATCTGCCTAAAAGTATGCTCCTGCATGATATTAGCCCCAGTTTAATTTTTGAAACATTTTACTGCAATGTAGATATCACCATTCACAAAGGTTGTTTGTTAATTTTTTTTTTTTTTTTTTTTTTTTATACACCAGAATGTGCGCGCACACATTAAAGTTTTTTTTTTTCTTGTTTTAAGCGTGCGATTGTAATGTTTGTACTTCTCGAAGTGTCGACTGCAGCGGGTAAGCGCTGTTGAGCGCGCTTCTTACCGAGCACTGGTGCACTGCGGAGAAGCAACACCCCCGGAAGCGAGCTCTGCGGGTGTTGCTTCTCCGCAGCGCGCAGGTGCTCGGCAAGAAGCGTGCTCGATAAGGCAAACCCACCGCGATCAACGCTCCAAAAAATCGAAAATAGCACAGTTCAGCTCGAAGCGAATATCGAATAGGGAATTATTCAAAATTATTATTTGGAAATTCTAATATTCGCACAATCCTAATCGGGAGCGTTCCAAGGCTAACCGACAGGTGGCGCTAGTATGCTAGTGTGCTGCGTGTTAAGTAGTCTCAAGTGGTTCCAGCGCAGACAGCCACACTTGGACAAATGCGCGAACCAGCCAGAACAGTATCATGCAGCATGTGTACACCCAGTGATTCCCCATTTCAGAGCGAGCTCTAGTCTTTCCATACGTAGCTGACCCCCTTGCTGTGCGCATTTGTGTGCAGGTTCGACACACGACAGACACGAGCAACTTTGACCGGTACCCTCCGGACACGGACGGCCCCCCTCCCGACGACACCACGGGCTGGGATGCCAACTTTTGATTCGTTTGCAGCATTGGAGCTTTTGTTCGACAAAGTTGCGGCGGGGAAGAGCAAGCGCCGTTTCCTCGACTGGTGCATCCCCACGAAACAACAAGCCCCGGCGGCACGAAGCTAGGGGCCGACGGACGGGTGCAGGACTGTCTCGACTCTAGTCTTTAAAGACGGCGTCCGAAGGCGGGCGTCTGACGTGCTGTGCGCTGAGTTTCGCCGGCACAGAGTCGGCATGCCCTTTTCCATCCGAACCGGCGTCTTTCCGAGCATCGAACCACCGAACTGTGCCGGTGGTCGAGTACCAATCTTGTCGAGACGACGCCTTAGAACGGAAAAGATGTGCGCAGTGTTAGCATTAGACTGGGGCGACAAAGGTTCTTGTTGTTTTCGTTCTTTAATCTGCGACGGTCTATTTTTCCTAAAGTCGTGCGTCGAGCTTGCGTCGTCGAGTTTACTTACGTTCCGTATTGTTTGCCACTGCTGCTTGGTTTCTGGGGGGAACGATTCCCAGCATGCACGGCAGGATTGTCATTGGCAAGAGGCTCAGTGTGTTCTGCTGGGTTTCCTCGCTAAATTGCAGAGCCCGGATGTGGCTTGGGCACGCTGCACGGTTCACGTTGTAGATTCTCTTCCGTGCCATGGGGGCGCGGCGTGACCCCCGCGAAGCGGAAATGCATAGTACAAAACTCCCAGCAGAGATTGCTTCCACTTCATTGACCGACATTGGTGATTTCATGCTTTGACTTAAACTCATTCTCGTTCTAATGGTGTGAACATCTCCTTTTTTTTTTTCCTTTGGGACAGTTTTAGTTTGATGATTCTTTGCTAGTTTTTGTGGCACGTGCCAGAACGCGTAACATACACACGAACAGATATGAGAAAGGTGTGTCTTCCAAGCTGCCTTACAGCTCAAGCTGCCTTAAAGCTCAAGCCAGCGGCTTCTTAAGCTGCTCGTTGTTTGGGTACGGACAATGCAACCGTGGCTTGCCTCTACAACTTGGGCCTTTGACACACAAAGTTTAGGTTTTGACTAATTGTGCCTCAAGTTCTTTTTTTTTTTTATATATATATACATATATGATTTCTTTTTTTCAAATTTGGTATTGTTGACAAAGGGCACTGTGTGCTCCCGAGTACATTTACTCTACTCCTCGAAACTTGAGTGCCAAATATATGTGGTTGAGACGTGAAAATGGGTGGCATGAAGGTGAGCTCACTGCTAAAAATTGCGAGTCATGCTGGCATACTTCAAAGTATGGAATTGTTCTATATTTTGGGCTACAGTTTTTTTTTCTAGGGTTTTTGTTTATCAAATGCAATACTGATACACTTTAGAGTTGTTGAAAAAATAATAATTTTATTGTGTCCCCATAGTTTTTGTACAGAGTGTTATTTTTTTTTTTTTATATTATTCTAGAGTACATTCTTTTCATAGGCTTTATGAACATACTGCAATTTGAAAATGCTTTTGATTTTTTGTGAAGTTCAGGGACAGAGATTGTTGTTAACTTGTGAGGAGACCGGTGAGGCACGAAGAACATGAGTACATCATCTCACAAGGCAAAAATAAAGGTTTCATATTTTAATGCTTCTCTGTATTCTTATCTATATCACTGCGTTTGTGTGCATCCCTTTGTTTATTCAATTAGTGTAGAAAATATATTTAGCCTAGAAATTATAATCGCTCGGTCCCCATTACCCGGTAAGATTGTTATGGTATGCATTTGCGAATTTTCCAAACTATTGACATTGATGGAAGCGGCATTTGACATTTTGTAGCAGGTTCTGTAGCAGGCAAAATATAGGCTTGGAGCAGATGCCAACGTCTGTAAGCACATCACTTCGAAATGAAAAAGTGATTGCATCGCTAAGTGACTCCATCTTTGATAATGATTGAAGGTTCCTCCTTGATGCTGGAGCATATTATTTCATTTTGTAATGGTAGTAAATAGGGCGAAAAAGGAACTCGGAGCCTTCTTTTTATAGAAATAAGGCTCTAGTCAGAGTAGTTTTTATTTGCAATGAGTACTAAAAATTTATAAACAATGAATCAGTGCAATACTTCAGTTGGGATAAAGCCTCTCTCCCCTCCCACTTTTCCACCCGCTAGTTTATTTACCCCGTAAATATAATTTCTGTAAAATGCCAGCAAAAATGAGCAGATCCGCTAACATGTCTCAGTATTTGAAGAAAGATCAATTGGTGGATCCTTAGGGAATGAGTTAGCATGACCTTTGGGAAACGCTAACGCTGACTCCTTCATTTTTCTGTTTTGGTTTTCTCTTCTGGCCTTCTCTTTTACTTCCTCTAATTTTTGCTGCCTCTTTTTGCCTTCGTTACGGGGTCAGCGTTGGCGTTTCCCAAAAAGGGACGTGTGTGACGTTTCCCAAGGGTTATGCTATAGTCAAGCTCCCCCCACAAGCGTGGTGCACCCGTTTCAAATCCCTCCGCGGTCGAAAGAAGAGAAGTAGCGACCTTTGTATTCATCGGAGGAGGAGCTGAGCCCCTGGAATCAGCCTTTGTATCCATCGGAAGGGGAACCTAATCCCCGAAAGTCGTATTTGTTTACATCGGAGGGGGAAAACTCTAATATCCCGCTCGTGGCTTCCACAGTGCTAAGTCAAAGTCGAAAGATAAAGCAAATATGTACTGGAAGGCAAGACCCTCCTCGCGCGTTGGCCGCGACGTCACGGAAACGATGGGACGCTATTGGATGCGGAGGTGGCGGAGGGATGTATGTTTTCCTTTGAGGGGAATTTGCCGCTACCTTCTTCACCTGTAACTTACTATAACGTATTCGCTAAGGATCCACCAATGTAATTTTTTTACGGGAAAGCGGGCTCGCTGAGCCCGCTTCGCCCCAGCGTTTGTCGCACGCAGACCTGCGTCGGCTTGCCGCTTTTTGTGCCGCATTTTGGCCAGCCGGGCTAGGCGCTGCATCCGCTCCTCTGTCTCGTTCGCCCGCCTTGCACGTTTAGCAGCGGCATCCGCTGCTTGACGCTGCTTTCGCTCTACGCCGGTTTCCCGCGCGCTCATTGGCTTCCGCCCCGTGACGTCGTCTCCCTCTCGCCTTTGTCCTTCACAACTCTCCTCCTCTCTACGTGGCGCGCTTTCCCTGTTTATCCTTGTTTACTGTTTCGTCCGCTGAAACGGCGTCAGCTTTTCCCTGCCAAGTTCCATAAACCTACCAAGTTCGAGACACTAATATTATAAACTGCAAAACAACCACCCAGGAATATTATAAAAACCTACACTTGTGCTTTAAAAGTGGCACTGCTCTTTAGCGGCGTAAGAACCAGAATTACGTCAAAGTTCGCTGCTCTTTCGATCGACAGCTGCACGGGAACTATACCTTGACTACCGCATTTCTTCAATATAGACACGCGTTTTTTTTTTTTTTTTCTCTGTCTTTTTCGGTGGAGCTTTTTAAAATCAAGAGTGAGAAAGGTAGACCTTTAATAATAGTGAAGGGGGGGGGGGGGGGGGGGGGGGGGAGGGGGAATTCCAAGCCTATCGCGCTAACCCAGTCGCTCACCCATGCCAGCTGCTGCTCTTAGCACTCGGGTGCAAAGCGGTGAAGCCCGACGCGCCTAGGGAAGCACGCGGCAGACGTGATAATCAAGAGGTCTCGTCAAGAGTACAAGACCCTGGTTCTGTCTCACGGTAACCGCCATCCTACTATTTTCTAATGTTTCCTCGCAGCTTTTAGCTCCTGACATCGCTGACATCGTCTAGAATTTTAGACGATGTCGGCAACCAACCGCCAGCGCATAAACCGGCCAGAGCGGTTGACGACGCTTTAGGCGCAAATTGGAAAAACCAAACAGCGTTAAAGTGCGACATCGTGGCATTCGTTCATCTTCCTGCACGTGTTCTTTTGTCAGCTAAACCAATCGAGCGCTGCGCATGTTTCGTGACTTGCGCATTTGGTGTGTGTGTTCCTAGTTGTATATGTTCGAACCTTAGACTGTGCTCTGACCTAGAAATACAAATTTGTACCCTTTTCGTTTCCCTCCTACTTCTCTAAATAATAAAACTTTTTTTTTTTTTTGCTTATATCTATTTTGGCGCAATTCTTAGCAAAAAGATGACACCTTGGCTCAAGATGTAGCAGACTTCCGTTTACGGCGCAATCTGGCGCAAACGGCGCACCACTTCCATCACTGAATATTGATCATCGCCTGAAATACCGTACTATTCGATTCGATCGCTCTATGACTATGAAACAGTGGTACGACTCTTGTGTTCCGCAATACAATTAATTTCTCATGTTCGGAGTGTAACGTCACTCCAGAGAATGACGTTACCCAAGCAAGCGTCAGGTATATGTAGAAAGTAAAAAGAAAAAAAATAATTGTGAATGATGATGTGACCTCTCTACCTTGAAACAACAAGTCCTGAATACAACTGCGGCTGCTAGTATTTATTATAGGCTGCGATATTCGGACGATATATTTTTTTTTTTCTCGAGATTTAGCAAGAATATTTGGGTAATACAAGAACATTTACATTAACTTCTTTAAAGGATGTTTTATTTTTTGTAAAATAGTTTGTTTTGTTATCACCTCTATATAGACGCTTTACACACTCGCCAAATTACAGCCGCTATTGCTGACCTTCTCTTGTCATACCGAGATGCCGAGCAACTGAAACGGTAGTTGACGATCCTCTACAAAGGCCGATGCTTTAGAAAAGGACGCAGTTGAATCTAATGTGGCAATAACCCGGCCTGCTATGGTAAAGATGAAGTGAAATAAACGAAATAAGAAACAAAAACTGAAGGCCAGTTGTGGCGGCGTCCATGCACAGCTGCTGCAAAGCGTCTTTAGGTTCCCTCTGTTCGATCGTATAGGCGATAGGTTAAATAAACTAAGCTGCAGAGTGGTGGTTGGAAGCTTGGGCATGTATTTAACGATCTCGTGCCGATTTGCGTGATGATGGGAGTTCTAAAAATGTCCTTGATGATCTCACTCAAATGGCAAACGCTTTGTTTCTTATCTAAATCGATAATTTCATTTTTATTACAAAATTCAGAGCTTGAAGGGAACATGTTTTCTCCCTTAAAATTATTTATCTATTCGGACATTATTTCAGTTAAATATACCATTTCCTTTCTGTACTTTTACTCTTTCCTGACCATGGGAAAAAATAGCAGTTTTCAAAGAATCCCCGCAAACGCTTTTATTTCTCTAACTTGTGTATGGAGCAATATGACGCATCAAACTTGACCAATTCGTTATTTTATGTTAATATAATGTGGAGAAAAAGATTTTATAATTTTATTTCTTGAAAATACTGTTTACGTGTGGAAAGCGTATAAACGCCGAAACTTCTACAGCTATGTCGATTAAACGACAAAAAAGAAAAATTCTGAATGTAAAAAACCTGCCCCACACCCACGGCTGTTACTTCTGAAAGTTAGTGTACTCTATTTTCGGTTCGTCAGAGAGTTAGTCTCCGTAACACGCGTGTTTTTCAACGAAGGAATGCTTATACTGGTGAAACACAAATAGGACACCCCACATCCCCAGCAGAATGCTTTTCATTTTGTGCGCCTTGTTGGGAACATAAAACGTGCACGCGGGCTCAGAGCACCCTTGGAAATTGTTGTGATGCTTACCGACAACCATTTGTCAAGCAACGCCTTTAACATCATTTGAAGTGTCCCCAGAGCTCTTGTGGTCTAAAAAAATTATGCCACAATGCAGTTGAATTATGTAAATAATGCCATCTTTGTTACGAAGATTGATGCAAGCAGTTAGCCATGTTAGACAAGTGCAACCACCGTTCCCACGACTGTTTGACAACCCACCAGCTTGCGATAAAGCTTAAACCTACGGTGAAACCGAACCCAGAGTTCTTCGGCTATCCACGAGACTGTGGAACATAATTCTCTGCACTAAAATTAATTTCTTGACGGCGCTTGGAAACTATCGATCATCGGTGATCGATGGCCTATGGCCGCGGTCAGGAAAGAGAAAGAACCATTCACAGCAGCCCATATACTGTCCTTTATCAATCAGTGTCTTGCCGCCGTGTACGGTGCTTTTAGGCGCAATATACACATATTCCAAAACTCGAAGCGCCTCATCGCGGCGTAATGCCATGGTATGCATTATGGGAATCGGTGGGCAGCAAAATCCATACGCACTCCGCTCCTGGTTCACAGGCTCCCAGAAAGCAACGCGCGCGGTGACGGATTTGTGGAAGTAGTCTGTTAATGAGCTATAGACGCTTTGCACACGCGCCAGATTGCAGCCCCTATTGCTGACCTATCTTGTCTTACTGAGATACCGCGAGCCACCGAAATGAGCGCTGACGAGCCTCCACAAAAGCCAATGCGGAGGGCACAGTAGAGTCTAAATGGCAATAACCTGGCCTGCTATGGTAATGAAGTGAAGTAAACGGAATAAGAGGAAACAAAAACAAGGTCGGTTATGGCGGCGCCTATGCACAGCTGCTGCAAAGCGTCTCCGAGGCTACAAGCGCAAGCACGTGGCCCTGAACAGTGCTTGCACAGCACGAGCGCGCGTGCTTTGCAGGGACGCTGAAACTGTCTGAGGAAATCAAACTTGCCGTGCAATGAACGCTGAGAAAAGGTTCCACAGAAGTGGGGAGGCAAAGTAGACATCGTCTTTCAGTTGGACAGGCCAACAGATGAGTCTTAAAATAATATTCGCAGTAATATGGATGAAAACGAGATGTTTGCTTATGCTCCAAATGTTCGTTTTTCTGCTCAAAAATAGACTTTCGACTGCTTCAAAATGACTCGAACCAATCACATCACCGCATAGGTTTGTGCGCTTTGTGTAGGATATTCTGGAGCAGGGGGTGTAAAATATTGGACTAGCCTATATATATATATATATATATATAATATATATATATATATATATCTTTTCGTTGGAGAGTTTTCGACTGCAGATCGTATATGCCGTCCCACAAGCACCCCTATCAGCGACCCGCTGCGGGGTCTGGCACCCCACAGACAGGCTAGCGGCGCGCATGCGCAGAAGCGGCTTCTACTTTGCGGAGCGTAGCGGTTGTGGACAGGAGATTCCTACGAAACGTTATGCGTGTAGCCTTCTGGGATTTTTTTATTTCTTTCTAATTGGTTTTTAATGGTTCCACACACATAGACTCCCACTCTTCCTCACTCAACGATGGCATTTTGTGGCTGTGTCCTTGCACAAAACCCTCGTATCACCTTTCGTAGCCGGCCTACCGATCCGACAATGCGAAGGAAATGCCGGGCGCGTCGGACATCCCCGGTAGGCGAGCGATTAAGTTTCCGCCACGGCGGATATCAGGCCGAAGCGGGCGGGTCGTGTACAGTTTCAGATTCTCGAGGTATGGGCATTGGGCACTAGCAGACAGAATAGCAGAGATCAGTCTTTGTAACCGTAATCCCTAGACAATGAAGTCCTCCAGCGACAGCCCTGCACCAGACAAAGGGCCAGACTATAATAGAGCCTAGATTTAAGAGCGGAAGCAAGTCAAGCCATGGAGAGCGTTTGCAATTTAATGGTGGACGTCCCTTGCGCAGATCTGTCACAATTGCGCATGCGCGGCGGGTTCGCAGGGCGGCCCATAAACCACCTGATCCCAATGGAGACGAGTGAAACACTCTGGCATCTAGGCCCACTAGGCAAGCCCATTGTCTGGGAGGGCGTTCCGAAAGGCTCTGGAAAGGGGAGGACGTAATTGTAAACGCGGAAGAGAGCCGCGCCGTGTTTGCCCTTTTCCGTATCGGCCGCCTTAATAATTCGCGAAAGGTCCGCGCGCTCCTCCAGGGCGGACGGTTTTCGTTCCCAAGGCGGCACGGAACATGAAGACCGCAAATAGACTGTAGCGTGCGCGGCGCGGCCCGGTGACTGGTCACGCAGCGAGTGTCGTAAGGATGGCTGCTGCTGCAGTTCACTGCCCGCGTTTCTCTACGTTGGAGGACTCCCGCTTCGCGGATCTTTCCAGAAAAAGAATCGGTTTATGGGCGGTGCCACTGTCATTTCGTGTCTGATATGGATCCGTCCTTTACAGAACCCTTGAGTTTCGGCTTCAAGGTTTTTCAACTTTAGCTAAGAAATTGTTTTATGAATACCTTCTTGGACTCTTTTGTCGATAAAATGTTCAAATTGTCCTCTTGCAAGTAACAATAAAATTAAAGCCCGTCCCCCCCCCCCCCCCCCCCCCCCCCCCTCGGGCCCTTTTTTTTCGATCCATTTATAGCACAGATTTGATTATCCTCCAGTACTAAAGTTCCCTTACTACTTCAAAACTTACATAGTCGGGTCGGCGTCAACTGTGTTGTGTTACGTTGTCAAGGCTGGCGTAGCTTACACTGGGCTGCAGCTCCCCACTACAACTAAAGCCCCCCATTCCTGGGAAAACTGGCGCCATGTCATTGTTGTGGGAATGCTCGAGACACGTGCCGCGCGCCACTGTTGGGAAGAACACGGCGGCAACCACTGCTGCGAAAACACGTGGCTTCTTCTTGCGTCTCGCATCTCATTCGCACGTTCTCGCGCAAGTAGACAGCGTTAGAACTTATCATATCCAGGACAACGTAGCACAAAATTGTTGACGCTGCTAATAGTCAGTCAGTCAACGTTTCATTAGCGTAAAAAAGGTATACATCACGGCTTCTTGATAAGCCTTGGAAACGTATAGACCAACACGCGGCCCTGACGTCACGAAGCTGCGGTGGCGCTGCCGACGGCACTGCGCATGCGCTTCGCTCCTCCCGAATTAAGTTTCTGCGCACGCGCAGTGCCCACACCTGGTGTGGGCAAACGCGGGCTTGTTTGTAAACAGAGTGTCGGTCTATATAGTCGGTGACAGGTTATAAGTAAAGTTGAAGCTCCTTCCACTTTTGCAGAATGAACAGTGAACGCTAGAGAGGAGGTCCCCTGAAGCTTATGACTCTGGCACTGTGGGATTTCTGATAAGAGGAGGAGCGCACGTGCAAATTTACTAAGTTGTTCCTATTGTTCCCGGTGTTTTTCTCATGTGGTTCCTACTTCTATTAGCGAACTTGTTAGGTCATTTCCATTTGTTTTAGGGGCGAAGCTCCTTAGGGGCTAGCCATGTCCGTTTGTCCGTCCGATATCCGGCGTTGGGGGCTCCTGCTCCTGCTTGTGAGCTTACGTGCTCACAAGCACGTGAGCACATGCTCTCGTGCTCGTGTAGAGCAAAAAAAAACAAAAAAAACAATCGCATCTTCACGTGGTGAATGATGTTGATTGGGGCGAAGCTCTGATGGTGCTTGTCTGCGTAGACGCTGAGCCCCAGCATGCTGAGCCTTTCGTTCGTTTTCATTCATGTCAGAAAGAGAATATGCGCTATGGAACGTGGTTATATACGCATTTGAGCATTTGACCGCAGCGTGACACGGATGAAAACGAACGAAAGGCTCGGCATGCTGCGGCTAAGCGTCTAAGCAGACAAGCACCACCAGAGCTTCGACCCAATCAACATCATTCACCACGTGGAAATGCGGTTTTTCTTTTTTTTTTTTTTTCCTGTTTTGTTGATTTATCGAGAAATTGGTAACCGAAGGGAGATTCGACCTCTTTCTGCGTTTAAAAATGTAGGCAGCATTACAACAGCACTGGTTGTGTGTATACATGTTCGAAATGTGAACCGCCAGCGTTTCTCCCTTTCCTTCCTTCGTGCTTTTTTCTCTCCCATCAACTCTTTCTCTGTTTTTTCTGCATTTTCTTCCTTTTCGTTTTCGTTCTTCGGAAAGGACGCGACGAGCAGTGTAGGCAGTGTAAAGTGCTTTGATTCGTCCGCGTTTAGCAGAGGAGCCTATTAGCGGAAGTGCAGGGATTGGAGCGGAAGTAAAAGGACACGCCCTACAGTGTGCGGATGAGGAACGCGTATTAAGTTCCGAGTGAAAAAATGGCGCCATGGCCATACTACGGCTCGTGGACGAACGTAGCGCGGACGCATATACATTCTTTTTTCCTCCACCGATGCGAAAGTAGCGGACGATAACATTCCCTCGTTGAGGTCGTCGCATGCTGGGGTTTCCGACAGGAAGTAGCCAAGGCAAGGAAACGACAACAAACGCCTCACGGCGGCACTGTTGTTGCGAAACTACGTGTTCCTATTTCGCTCTTAGGCCCAGGAATATATAAGAAGGATCACCAGCAAGGACGACGGAAGCAGGAAGGTAATATTCGCCTCTACCCCGATTATAGGAAGGAAGGACGCTGTGGGGGCTTCTTATGCCGACTAGAGACCTGCTCCGAATCGGCGGGTGCGTCACAGCGGAAAGTGATAATGCTCCGTGATCGCGTCAGCCACCAGCCATACTTTGGTAATAATAGTAACGGGCTGTTATTAGAGGTGCACGAATACCACTTCGAATCGGATACACTTTGTTTCATCCTTAACTTCAACACTGTAGAGAGATGTGGTATGGCGTGGCTTTGTTTGGCACTACGTGAACAGTGATGCAGCGCTATTTGATTCGACCCACTGACAGTTCGTACTGACGCTGGTACTTACATTCCTCGCAAACGGTGAAGCCAAAGCTATGAGCGCTCGCACACCTTTGAGCACCGATCATAGCTGTGCACGCGCGGCGGGGTTCGCTTCTCCTGAAATGCCAGAAAAAGTTGTTCTCGAGCATCGTTCCGAGCGTGCGCTGCGAACGGCCAACAAAATAGCGTCCCGTGAATTGGTGATGAGATGTTTCGGCTACATAGTTCTTATCTGTGACGTCACAACCGGGATTGTCGATTATCAGAGACAATTTTGATGGTGTGCGTATAAAGCACGGGGGAAGCTAGAAGTCGTCGCGTCTTTAAACTACACCGTTCGATTTTGGCGGTCTTACACTGCTCTTGTATTTTCATGAATGACAGCGAAGTTTTTTGTCGCACACGCGTCGCCAATGATCACTGACAAGGTGAGTCGATATACAGCAGAGCGTCTCTTTCTAACGCCCGGGCTCCAACACGCGCAAGCTTTAGACCTTATAGTAGGTCAAAAAATAAAACAAACACAAATAAGTATAAATCAACGTCCACACAGACACACACAAAAGAAAAATTGTAAGAAGGAAATAATATTGTCCTGCTGACACTCCTTACAGAAAGACCTCAGCGGCCATAATGCCACTTTTTTGGTTTGATGAATACCGGGTAAACACCGACTCGTAAGGAGAAATAGTTTTGTATAGGTGACGTCAAGTTTTTAAAATCTTCGCGTCCTGTCCCCACCGATAGCATTACATCTAGCGGAGTTCCAGTTTTAAACATTTAGAAAGTGGAGACACATAAGGGACGATACAGACAGGACAAACTTTCAACTTCAACAACATTTAATTTTCGCCTTCAAGCGCAAAGCCCGCCCGCTCCTTGGGAGTGCGGGAAAGGGAAATCGTGGGGAAGGAGAGGAGGTGGAGGAAGTTGCCAAACGTATAGTTTGTTTATGCATACCAAAAATTTTATTTATTATTATTATTTTTTTTTTTCCGAATTCGGTATGATTAAACGTTTAGATACATAACTACTGAGTTCACCTACCTTGACGTTCCACGGAGATTGGGACACGACAGTCATCGAAGCAGGGCAATTATCGAAACGCTTTATTCTCCAAAATCAGGAAGAGCAATAACAGATGAACGTGATTCTGATGGCATTCATGGGACCAGCGTGTGTACGCTGCAGCTGTTGTACTATAGTGCGTAGTTGTAATCACATGCATTATGACGACCCTCACGAGAGGGCCTTAAAAAAAAAAAAAAAAACTTAAAGCGTTTAGTTCAGATTGATCCCATTCGCTCATTGGTCATAACGCATACAAAAGAAGATGGCGGCATAAGATGACAGAATGTCCTAAATCGTACGCGGAGCGCAAGTTCGTCTGCTTCTTTTGTAAGGCTTGTGATGACGTCAGAACGCCGAGTTCTGATTGAAGGATAAGGGGCTAGACCTCGAGGCTGCAGCTTGCTTGAGGTCTACCCACTGTCCGCCAATTAGAGCTCGGCGCCTTTCTGACGTCACTACAACCCCTGCAAAAGAAGCAGACGAACTCACACCCCGCATACTCCGTTTCAAGTCCGACCGCAGACCATTCGATAGAGTCAATCAATCATCACCGGGAAAAGTGCATCGTCATGGCGCTCGTTTTCCTTGTGGGTTCGCTGTGCACCGGCTATACACCAATTACGCGTAGAAAAAAAAAAGTTCTAGATCACGGCGTTTTTACTGTGCGCGACTGGTTTTAGTCGGTGATAACGAACGTGCAAAGGCGACGAGCGCCGTGACGTTGCACTTTTGGCACCGCTCGATTGACTGCATCGAATAGACGTATGCGAGTACGGCCTCCGGGCGCCGGGGGGCCATCTTGCTTCTGGTGTGGGTAGATCGTCAGATAGTCAAGCGTTGCCGAGGCCGTGGGTATACGCCTCAGCAATGCTCGACTATCAGATGATGTACCTACACCAGAAACAAGATGGCGGCGCTGAGAGGCCGTACTCGCAAACTTCTATTGGGACTGTACACTTCTCCACAGCATTTGGGCGAGAAATGCCGAGTGACTGGGCTGTGGACGCATGCGCGGCGGCTGATATTTCGCGGAAGAGAGCTAGCTGCTGCGCATGCCCAGAACACGGCCCAGTAGACAAAGATGGCAGCACGCAGAAGACGATTATTTGAATGATCTATATAGGGAAGCACCGTACGTCTTTTTGTTCGCGCTTTTGGCCCACACGTATGAAGAAAACCTTCTGGTAGCCGAAGTTGTTAGGAAGAATCTGAAAGAAACCATAGCCAAAAGCCTGTCTTTTAGGGAAACTTCGGCAGCCACTTTGAGGCTTCCTCGATGTTCATTTCAATTTGTCCACGTAGTAGAATCTTTCAGTTTTATGCGCCCAAGGGAAAGCTGTGTTTACATTAAGCTGGGGCTCACCCGCGAATCCGCCCAATTCAGAGGAAAGACTAACCACCCTCGCTGCCTCAGCGAACGCCACTATTTTGGAAGAAGCCACACTACAGAGTCACAACGCGGCGTCTCCTGTGACGGACTTCGTTAGCCTTTCGGGTCACGGCAGTCGGAGACGCATTCCACACATTTTACCGACAGCAAACGTTACGGGAGAATTTAACTACCCGCTACCTGTTGCATATTTCATCCACCTGTGTCTTGCGTGGTCACGCAAGCCACGCAAGAGAGGTTTCTGGTACAGAGTGCCGCTAAGAAGAGACAACTCTTTCGTAGATGTCCATCACACAGCCATGATAACAGACCACAACCTGCTTGGTTTTTAGGAACGGATTCGATGATGTTTCGTCGAGAGTGGACTTCTCGACTTGAGCAGACGTGACTGTTTGTCGACCTGGGCCCGCAATTTACATCCATTTACCTTTGAAAAAAAGAAAAAGATCTATCGAATTTGGCTGAGAAGTTGCGAACAAACGGGAATAAACAGAAAAGTATTTGTTTTCTTTCGACAGTCGCTCACTTGAGTTGAGGGATAGGTGAAACGAAGCACTCGAACAACCAGAGTTTTCAGAAGGCGTGAGCAACGCAAACCAGCTTTGCAAAACAGCTCTCATGGCAAAATATATCTATAGCTGCACAAAATCCGAACTAGAGAGCATAGAAATGTAATTTTCCTGCCGACTCGAGTTCAACAGCCCCCTCCATCTGGATGGCACAGCACACACACACAGTCTCCTAACTGGAACAGCACCAAAACGTCGAGCGACCGAACGCCGTGCGGTGCGTACCCTGCATGCATAATCCGGCCTTCCCCAACAACCCTATCACTTGTAGTAAAGCTGCTTCCTAACCTCGCCGTAGTCTATTGAATATAAGTACGCACGACCCCCTAAAACCTGCACGCTTATGCAAATGCACCTAACGTTGCTTCTTCCGGTAAAACGCTTCAAGAGGCAGGTCAAAGAGGCAGACATTTATTTATAACAGGTTCGGTTAGTCAGCCTTCCAAAAAGGAGACAATCGAACAAAAACTGCCATAGCAGGACTAACCTGACCTGTTCCGCTGCAGCACCCGTAACAACTCACATTATCCTTATCACGACTGGAATTGCGCGATAAAAATATGATACTATTTGACTACGTCCAAGCGTTCGCAGTGGAAAGCAGGCAACCCCCTCCGGCGGAGCAACGAAACGAAACGTAAGGCGATGAAATCTATGACCTGCCTTTTACGGCAGGAAGAAAGAAATTCAAAATAAAAGGTACTTCCTTCGGTGCCCAGACAACTTCGTTCAGACGGTTCGTACAACAATTACAAAAAAAAAGTAACCGTTACTCGAATAAAGAATACAAAAGCCGCGAGTCGCGGAACAGCTTTAAGAAACGATTGACTAACGATCGGTCCAAGGAGTCCGCCAACAGACGGCACCCCGGGAAGCCAAAGTGGCGCACAGCGGTCACAGAAGAACCGTCCGGCAACACTGGGGTGCTTCGTCGACGGCACTTTTCAGTCCGTCTTGGCGGCGGCCTTGCTCTTGGGTTTGAGGTAGGCACCGTAGAAGAACAGGGCAAAGAGCACAAAGTAGGACGCGTACATGAAGATGGCCAGCATCGCCGTGCGCTCAGAGATGGCACACGAGGCCCGGCCGCCCTGCTTGTTGGTGACCAGGCCGAGTCCGGTGACGTAAGCGCCCATCAGCATCTGGCCGATCTGCAGGGACGTGATGCACACGCCCGTCCAGCGAGGCGTCTGGACCCGAAACGACCGGAGGGCGAAGTACGAGTACATCATGGAGTGGACCACGTAGTTCATGACCACGTACCAGCGCGCCGGCGCGATGTGCTGTTGGTAGAAGTACCAGGAGAACATGAGCACTGTGATGTGGTGGTACCAGTGGAGGAAGATGAGCTCCTTCTTGCGCAGGATGATGAACACCGTGTCGCCGAGTTCGGGCACCTTGCTCAGCACGAACATCCAGGTCCAGAAACCCGAGACCCTGTCGTACTCGATGTACGAGTTGTTGCACACCGAGTGGAAGAAGCCGAACTCGCGGAGCACGTGGATCAGCTCAGGGATGGTGCGGCAGGCGCCCACGACGCTGAAGACGGCCAGCAGCAAGTTCCAGACCTGCAGGGCCCTGGTGAGCCGGAAGGCCCGCCGCTGGGCCATGAGCGCCTGGCCGCCGAACACGATGAGCATGTACAGCCCCACCCAGTAGACGGACGTGTGCCAGTTGCGGTTCATCCATAGCCGGTTCTGGTCCTTGTTGAAGTTCACCTCAAAGTCGAACTCGAACGAGTAGTTCGGCTTGATGTTGAACAGGTCCAGGGGCATCTCCATGCCGACGGACATCGTGCTGCAGGACCCGTTGCTGCAACGACACACAAGTACACGATGTAGCAGGTCGACGCCACTCGCGGAGCAGTTTGCAGACGGCCGCGCAAGCGATCGCCGCCGTCGGCGCTATTATATAGTCGACACCGGTTTTCCTCGAAATGAGATGCCTCTGCGGCACTCGCTTCGAGAGGAACGTGATAAGGGTAGATAGCGCGGCGAAGTCGTCGGTCAAACGGGAGGGATTTTTCACCAATCGGCAGTTCGCGACTGATTCGTCCGCGCTAATGGTTCATCCTAATCATAGGGGAAAATAAAAAAATAACGCCCCATCAATCTTTCTTCTTTATTTTAATACCTCGTTTTTCATTACACTTTAACAGTTTGAGCTTAAGTCAAATGGAAAGGGCAGATATCACTGACACATCCTACGGAGAAAAAGACAACACACACGTAAAACGCGAAATTTCTGTAGAAGACTACGTGTTTCCGCTAAACCACAGAAAGTTACTCGAGGGCACTCCCATTCCCATAGAACACAAATACACTTGACTTGCTCTTCGCGCTCGTAAGCAAACTGTTCGTCCTTGCCCACAGGATAAGCCTACTCTGTTTCTACGTTTATATTTATCCCGCCAGCTGTTAACCAAACTTTTCCTCGTTGCGAAGCAAGCTGTTCACGTGCGCATGGCCGGGCTTCGAAATATACTTACACCAGGAAAAAGTTATATCCAGCCACTGCACCAGATTCTCTCCTCCCCAAATAAAAAAATAAAATAATAATAAAAAGGCATCGTGGACGCGAGTTCAGATCAAGCAACCTACTGGTTCGAACTTGAGCGAAAACCATACATTTATATCAAGTCCTTCGGCATATACGTTCCGCATATATAATGCTACGGTTATCACTTCTATTTTTCCTGTCAGTTTTCGTTTTGCATCCATCTTGCCGCACGACCACTGGATTCGCCATTGATCGTCAGCTGTAATCACCTGGCCATTCGTGTGCCTCCGTCTTTCCGTGTTTCGAAACTAGCGGCCGTTCTATTCCTTTTTCTTTTTTCCTCTTTGCTTCCGCGAAACATTCAGAAGGAGAGCTTCCTTCCCCCAGTCTCGTGGCAAGTCCTTGAGAAAAACAGTCGCTCGCTGTAAGTTTTACACGCTACATTTAGTCGCTGCACGGCGGGCCCACCGAAGCTATGACGTCAGTTGCTGAATGACGTAACGCGAGGCGTCGAGGAATTCGCCCAAAATAATTGGGGTGAAAGCAAACCTGATATGAGGGGCGAAAAATAAAAAAAAAAGACAAAAACTGATCGAAAACCCTCGCCAGTGCGGTACGTGTGCTCCGGTCGGGTCAGTGCACGGCTCTGCTGTGAGCTTGCGGCTAAATTTAAACGAGTTTGTTTTTAAAAGGTCGAATGATATCTTCCCCACTTCGGCCGTCCGTCCAGTGTGTGCGTCATTCGAATGCCTTTCCGATCTTCCGAAGAATCGCGGGCCTCTGGAAGGTAAAAAGCTGCCGAACCAATTTTGCCACCGTCCGTGACTTTTCGAAATCCAGTCTGACAACAAGGATGCGGCCGACCTGTACACTGATGTCACGGCCAGGCGGCGGTGGCATGTGGAACGGGACACGCCTAAATGATTCGCCGCTTAAAGGAGCTGTGCAACGATATTCAATTGCAATGTTTTTTCTCTCTACACGAGCTTACTGGCACACCTGGGACTCAAGGATGCTCACACGCAACGCCATTGGCCAAGAAACTCCTTTGTTGCGCTGTAATTTCAAGGACAAAAGCGATCATTTTCATTCAATCTCTCCTTTGCAAAATTTGATGACGTAACTCGGGGATCACAGTACACCCAAGTGACGATATTTGAATGCGGTTCATAGATTGGACCCGAGCATTGCGTGGGCACTCGACTTGGGCTCGTGACAATTGCTAGCTCGAGAAGCATTCGGGTTGTGACCCGTGTCCAATCGCTGCAACGACGACAACAGCCGAGCCATACCAATGTCTGGAACTCAGCGCGTGTCCAGCGCTTTGCCAACCCTAGCGCGTGGCTATGATCAACACTGGCGGCATATAATCGGCTCCAGATCACGTGGCCGCTTGTTCTGGCTGCGAGTTGAGGGGGTGAACGCTGCTCGTTTTCCTTCAATTTTTTTCTGGGACTTCTGTTGCGTGGGGTGAAAAACGAACGCGTGTTTCATAGGTCATTAACGTTAGGGATCCGTTTTAAGCGGTATTTACGCAAAGTACAAAAAATGTTGCATCGCTCCTTTAAAGGAGCTGTGCAACGATATTCAGTTGGAATGTTTTTCTCTCTACACGGGCTTACTGGCACACCTGGGACTCAAGGGTACTCACACGCAACGCCATTGGCCAAGAAACTCCTTTGTTACGGTGTAATTTCAAGGACAAAAGCGATCATTTTCATTCAATCTCTCCTTTGCAAAATTTGATGACGTAACTCGGGGATCGCAGTACACCCAAGTGACGATATTTGAATGCGGTTCATAGATTGGACCCGAGCACTGCGTGGGCACTCGACTTCGGCTCGTGACAATTGCTAGCTCGAGAAGCATTCGGGTTGTGACCCGTGTCCAATCGCTGCAACGACGACAACAGCCGAGCCATAACAATGTCTGGAACTCAGCGCGTGTCCTGCGCTTTGCCAACCCCAGCGCGTGGCTATGATCAACACTGGCGGCATATAATCGGCTCCAGATCACGTGGCCGCTTGTTCTGGCTGCGAGTTGAGGGGGTGAACGCTGCTCGTTTTTCTTTAATTTTTTTTCTGGGACTTCTATTGCGTGGGGTGAAAAACGAACGCGTGTTTCATAGGTCATTAACGTTAGAGATCCGTTTTAAGCGGTATTTGTACACAGTACAAAAATTGTTGCATCGCTCCTTTAAAGTCTCGAAGCTTATCTCAACAATTACAAAAAAAAGAAAAAGGAAAATTTGGTTTTTCGCGGAGCATTACTAGTTTCCTCCTTAATGAGGAGAATTAAAACATATGTATGTGCATTTTAGATTAGACACATGTCATCTTATCAAGACACACGTTTCAAACGCCAAAGGCATTCCTTCTTCCTCCACAACAGAATCTTGTCATAACTACTTCACACACGAATGAACAATGCGCAAAACTTGTTTTTTTTTTTTTTTTTTTTTCGGATATTTATTAGACGCCATATTTGAGGGCACTGTTTAGAGTGCACGCTCAGAACGAGCTCACGTTAATAGCCTGCTAAGACCGGCAATCTTGATGGTACGGAATGCACGTTGCAAAGAACTGCGGAAGCTCACCGTCAGCACGCGCTCGGTCATAGCTGTGTGCGCGGCTGCTGAGCGCGTGCTGGCGGGGATCTTTTGCGACGTGCATTCCGCACCATCAAGATTGCCGGTCTTAGCAGGCTATTCATGTGAGCTCGATCTCAGCACGCCCGCTAAACATCGCCCTCAAATATGGCGTCCAGTGAATAAGAGTGCCCGAATATTTCTTCGAATCGAATAGCGCTGCACATAAGTTCTAGCCTTCAAAGTGGAGAGTTCTAGCCTTCAGAGTTCTCTTCGCGGTGATAAAGCTAGAGATGACATAGCACTATTCGATTCGACGCGATATTCGCACGTTTTGGGTCGTTCTTGCGGCCGCGATAACTGCACAAAGCGTACGCATGCTCCAAACTAACAACGCAAACAAAAAAAAAAAGTATATATACATAAAAAAAAAAAATTGGTGGGTTTACGTGCCAAACGCACGAAGGGCATCTGGCGCGCCCCAGCGAAGGTCTGCGGATTCAATTAGACCACCGGGGGGATCTAGTGACGTGCAACCCAAACCGCATGCAGTTAAACGGCGCGCCTTCACCGCGATAAGCCTCCATCCGATTACGGGCAGCTCGGCGAGGTATTGCCATGACGGCCTACTAAATCTCCCCAATCAGCTCCCCGAATTCTTAGCCGAGCCTGACGAAAAAAAACAAAAAAAACTATAGAGTTTAAATCCCAAAGAGCGCCTGGTGGTCGACGTCGAGGTCGACCGCGTTACGTTGTTTGCGCCAAGGGGTGTTGCAGAAAAAAAAAGAAAATACACAAGCTTGGATTATGCTGACAGAAACCAGGAAGCACACAATGTGTCCCGTACAAACCATTCTTTTTCTCGTTATTTTTATTTTAATTCTTTTTTTTACATATTTAAGCGCATATGTTTACAAATAATCATGGAAAACCACCCATAAAACCCATTTTGGTTAAAAAAGAAAAACAACAACAACGGGGACTTGAAAAGCACGGTTGTTTTTCCCACCGCTGTCGAGCCCAAGGTACAGTTTTTTCTCACCGCAGCGGACGGGGAAAATTGTCCAACCGGCAACCTTACCCAGACACACAGGTACGGACACCACATAAAAGAAAGGGAAGAAGAAGAAAAACAAATAACACAGAAGCAAGTCATTTTATTCGGGCAGAGCTCCCGACGGCTCAGACGCATATCGTTCGCATAAAGGCCGCAATAAACATTACTCACGAGCCGTACATACCGTTCATTGAACGCATCGTACGCGATCTCTCCCTCGAAGCGCGGGAAAAAAGATCGCGCGCACCGCATCCCCAAGAAGAGAAATATGAAAGGCAAGCGAAAGGCGGAATCCTTTTCGTCGGGCGCGCGCGCGTCGTTCCAAAGTAGCCTCAAAGAAGCTTGCCCCGCGACAAAGGAGCTCCTCGACGCGCTTTTCCTCGTCCTTAATCATTAGGGAGTTTTCGTAGACCGCGTTGCCCCTCTCCGCTAAGCGTTCCGCAACGAAGAAGTTGCTACTGCGCCGGCGCGCCGATAGCCTTGACTGTGGAGTTTCCGCTATCGTAGCGGATTACGGAGGGCCTTGCGGGACGGCGAAAACGATCTACGAAAACTCCCTATTTCCACCTCGATCGGTTCAGCTCGTAGCGTCCGCTGCGTTCGGACGTAAGTTGAAACGGCCCAAGAGCGTCTCCATGCCTCATGTGCCACTGTCACTACAGTACCAGC